GTCGCGGTCCCCCTGACGGATCGCCGCTCCGTCCCCGTACTAGTCACACATTTGCCGAGTGCACTTCCCCCGTCAGTCATTTGATATTGTCATCCGCCCCGCTGAGTGTGCCCCGTCGCGGCGAAAAAGAGTTTTTCAGCGAAATAATTCCTCTCTTGTTACAAAGAGCCCCCCCCGGAGCAAATGGGGGGGGGGCTGACTGGGGTGAAAGGGGCAGCCCGTGGTGAGTGGTGGGGCTGTTCGCAGGAAATGAGGGCTGAAACTCGGATTTTGAGTCTGTGGAATTATGAGTAGCAACAAGAAGCGATACAACACAAAAGCAAAGTATAGCCCTAGACATACCAATGAAATTTGCATAAAGAGTACTATGATGACTCATTCCAACTCATCACGGTCTCATCTCTACTACTAGTTGCTATCATTGATCCCTATTTCTTTGCACATACACATAAGTTCTATACTTCATACTGTATTCAAATTTAATTTTTTCAATCCAAATGCCCCTCGACCCTCCGAACAGCCCCACATACTTCGATTAGGACCCCCAGTGCGGTCCGTCGGCCCGAGTGTATTATTCTCTTTCACAAGACCCCGATTTGTCCCCGTCTGCCCAAGGGCGCCCAATTTCTATTCGCTCTCAACCAATCTTTCACAATGTGCTGTGAAGCGCCTGGGTTTGTCCCCGTACCTCAAGGGCGTTCTGGGTCCGTCCCGCTTGACTGAAACGAACAAAGATCTCCCCCCGAATTACCAAAGAGAACACGATTTGTCCCCGGAATTACGCAAATGAACCAACACCCTCCCCCCGAATTACCACAGCGAACAAGAAATGTCCCCCCAACCTACCAAAGCACCCTGGATCCTCCCCGGACCGCGACGAACCTCTCTTTCTTCATAACATCCCCCCGCAGTCAAAATTTTTCCCCCACCCTTTTTGCACCCTTCACTGCGCTGGCCTCGATTCCGCGCTGCGCCCTGTCAGGGGCCCTCGCCAACCGACCCATGGCGGGAACCGACCAAAAAAACTCGACTGGAGAGAAGAGAAACGACCCCTCCTGCTCCGGCGCCTCGCTCTGTGTGCGACTGCTGGAAAGGACCCACCATGCCTGTCCCCCCCCTCCCCTTTAATCGGGGCTGGTGACGCTGTCGCCTCTGCGGTGTGCGTGCTATTTCTCAAGTTTGTTCGAGTGAATGGCTGCTTGGTTTTCGAGGTCTCTTTGTGCTTCGCCTGTGTAATGTTTGAGTCTCTTGTGTTTGTGTGGTGTTTCGTGTGCTTTGGTTGGTTTTTAATGCGATTTTTGGGAATTTTCCGCTTTAGCTTTGACACTCTGCCGTCTCTCTGTGTTCCATTGTATTTTTCTTTATGTGTTTTTGTTTGTTCTTCATCTTTTCTCTGACTCCTCTTCACATTTCCCTCGTTGTTCCCAACTATTTTTCTTTCTCTAACCTCACAAAATCTCTAACGTCTCTCCAAACCCCACGATCTCTCACCACCTCAACAAATGTTATCGATTTTGTTTTTGACGAAACCCGAGACACGATTTCGAAAGAGAGTTGTGATAAACAACCGATGATTGATAAGATAATCGACCGGTCTTTACACTTTGCACCAGTCGGCGCACTTCGTACTATTTGGCTTACATTACATATGCAAATATAATGTAAATTTGCTGTGTAGTGCAAACATAGCTGCGAGGGCTCTTTTCGGTTTTACGAAGGGCTTCGCGGCGCCGACGGAAAGAGTGTGGGACAGTGAGAGAGCGTGAGAGAAGGAGAGAAGAGGGGGAATAGTGTGAGCAGGACCTATTCTTCTACAGCGATATAGGGTTGTAAAAAGTGAAAAAATATGGTCAAAAGCTGTCATAACTGACATTACAATGACATTGCCAATGTAAGAAAGAACAGAGAATGCGATGACAAAAATGTCATTACCTACAACAACCCAAAATGCCCAAAAACCCTCAAAAAACTACCGAAAATCGACCCAAACCAAAACAAAAAGACAAAAGAATTGCACAGATTTACAGATAGGCTGTAAACCAAAGAGACAGCAGCCCATCCAGCTGCGCGACAGATGCCCGAACGACCTTCGAACGCGACGAAAGGCCCCTCATCAGCGTCCCCTTCACATTTCTCTAACTGTCTACCAAGTCTCTTGAAACAGGCCTTTTAAAGAATGAACTGTACAGGATATCTTTTTCCTCTGCAGCCTCATCAAGTCCAATACTCTCTGGATTATGACGAAAAATTTCATTTTTCAAAGTACCAATTTTACAGCAAAAGAATACCAAAAATGGGAAGAAATTTCAAAATTTGATGAATAATAAGTTCAAGTTGGTGATATGAAAAATGTTATGAGAGGGGTAATGGGAGAGTCTGTATGAAAAAATTTTTAAATAAATGACAATGTTAATATGTCTAACAAAAATTACATAAAACATATATACTAGGCTTAGTAGATCTAGCTTTGCAGACCTAGATATACCAAATCTAGGCTTCGCAAACCGAGGCTTACCTTAGACTTAGCCTTATCAGCTCTAGACTTAGCAGATCTAGGCTTACCAGACCTAGACTTAGCCTTATCAGCTCTAGACTTAGCAGATCTAGGCTTACCAGACCTAGACTTAGCCTTAGCAGCTCTAGACTTAGCAGATCTAGGCTTAGCAGACCTATTATTAAAAGACCTAGGCTTGGCAGACCTAAACTTAAAAAACCTAGGCTAGACAGACCTAAGCTTAGCAGCCATTTAAAGAAAGTTATTACCATCTTTTGTTCTGTAAGAAAAGTTGTTGTCATTTTAAGCTTTGTAAGGAAAGTTGTTGTCATTTCTTAAGTTTTTAAATACAAAACTAAAGATGGCCTAGGGCTCATTATTGTTTTGAGACTATTCCTGGCTAAGTTAAGCGTAGTCCGGTCGATTTGGGCTAATTGTTAGCTGTTTCAACTGCTTTTTTCTGCTCGGTTTAGATTTTTAAAATTTTTAAACGTTGATTTTCATAATGATAATAAGCCTAAAAATATAGATTTACTATAGCAGGAAAGGTAATGTTTGCCTTTGAAAACACTGTAAGAACAAAATAATCGATTGAAACATTTGAAAAAAGGTAAATAAATCAAAATGACGTGATGTTTGTTGTTTGGAAAAGCCGAAAGTGATGGGTTGTTTCAAAGAAAATATGAAAAATGACGTTTTAATGACTCGAACTTTTGAATTGAGGTTAAAAATAGGCTTGAAATAAATAGATTTATCAAAATTTAGCCCTAGCGAAGGAAAAAACGGCAAGAACTTTCTTTACAATGCAAGAAATGGCAAGAACTTTCTTTACAGATTGTAAAGTGACAATAACTTTCTTTACAAATCAAAAAATTGCAAGAACATTCTTTACACATTTTAAAATAGCAAAAACTTTCCTTAAAATGCCAGAAATGACACGAACTTCCATTACAAACCACAAAATGGCAAAAACTTTCCTTACAGATTAAGAACAATTTAAATTTTTTAAAATTTCAAAAAAACTTACAAAATTTCAAAAACTCTGTCTAGTTTTTTTCGTTTATTTGAAGTGCGTAAGCCCTCAAAACGAACTTTTAGATCAAAGAGAAAAAAGAAATGTTTATTTATAGGCTAAAGAGAAAAACATGACCCGAAACTGAATTTTCCCTCAGTTTTGTATCAAATTTTTCCCTGAAATTTATTTTTAATTTTTTGAATATTGTAGTGGATAAAAGTTGATTTTTTTAGCGGTTTCTTACATTAAAAAAAGTTTTTAATTACAAAAAAGGTTGAAATTTAATAATTTAATATCTTTTTATGATTTTGAGGGCAAAAACTTTGTTTACAGGGGGAAAAACATTGATTTTTAGGGTTTAAAAAGCATTTTTTGCTTCTGCTTCACCTTATTTTATGTAGTTTTCGGCAATTCCTATTAGATTTTTGCTTTTTAATTACATAAAACAAGTTGCTTGCTATTTTTATGACAACAACTACTTTTTCTGAAATACTTTACAGGGGACACGCATTGAGTTAAAACGTTTTTTCACTGCCATAACCAACTTATTTTAGGTATTCTTTTGCCATTTTTTATTAGATTTCTGGCTTTTCATATAAGAAGTTACAGTTTTTATCACATTTTTGTTATAATATTAACTAAACCAAACTAAAACTACAGTTTTTCTCACTGTCCCCTTCACCATACCCTAACAATAGGCATGTATGGTAGTAATGTATTGTAGTAGGTTGTTTACCCACTCTCATTGTTATGATTCGCTTGACCTTTGTTCGCGGAAATTAGGAGAAAAAAGGGTTTTCGGATGAATTAACAAATCCAAACAATGAGGATTAACATTAATTTACGTCGATTTCGACTAATTTTCAACACATTCGGAGATTGTAAACAAAGTTTTGGCAGATTCTTGGAAATTTTTTAAGAGATGCATAAAAATTGTGTTGTTTTAGCCTAGGGTAAAGGTTGAAATAGTAGGTAGGGGATTTCAGGTGAGGTTTCAAACAAGATAGAAGGTAGGGAAAGGCATGGTAAAGGAAGGTAAAGTAAGATAAGGCTAAACAGGCAATGGTAGGTAGAATAAAGTAAGGGAGGGCAGGGTGGGCAAAGTAGTCTAAAAAAGAGTAAACCAGGTAAGGAAACATAAGATAAGGTAGGCTAGGATAAGGTAGGTAAGATAGGATAAGATAGCATAGAGCAGAGCATGGTAGAGTATGGTAGACTAGAGCAATGCTAGGGCATAGTTTGATATGGTATAGTACGGTAGCGTATGGAAGGTTAGGGTAAGGTAAGGCAGGATCAGGTAAGTACAGTAGGCTAGGGTAGGGCAGGATACGGTAGAGTAGGAGAAAATAGAGGGGTAGGGTAGTGTAGGGTAGGGTAGTGTAGGATAGTGTAGGGTAGGGTAGGCTAGACTATGGCTAGGACCAGAACTAGAGTTAGGGCTAAAGCTTTTAAAAAATATTTTAAAAAATTTTTTTAATCTTTATTTACAACTCATAACAGCGACTTTTGTGACAACATTTTCTGAAGTCGTTGCCTCAAGCCGACTGTCTTTTTGTCGCCATTTTCTGATAAGTTATCGGCTGCTTTTACTTGATGGGCTTTCATAACCTCAAGGCAAAAGTGTTGTACTTGAGGATCCATTCGACGAATATCAGCCAATGTCAGATCACCATTGGCTATCTCATCGGCTATACGAAGCTGAAGTGTCACTTTGCGGGTACGAATGTCCTGGAAAGAAAGTTTTTGCGGTTTTTGCTAATATGAGTTTTGAAAAGAAAGTTCTTGCGTTTTTTTGAAAAATTTGTTTTGGAAAGAAAGTTCTTGCGGTTTTATGAAAGAAAATTCTCGCGGTTTTCATAAAATATGAGTTTGGAAAGAAAGTTTTTGCACTCTACGACAACAATTCCATTTTATATTAAACCCACTTCAAAGTCCGAAGCCGTGCCCATCAAACCAGCGATCTGTTCATAAGCCAACAAGTCTAGCACATCCTTCGAGCTGGACCTTATGTATCGTCGCATTCGTCGCGTATTGCCACGATTATCAACATGACCAGGCAATAAACGAGCCATAAAGTCTTGGACACGATGCCGGATGGATTTTCGATTGAAATTGTCTTCCATTTTATCTGAAATGGCAAGAAATGCGGAATTTTGATAAAAGTTGGGTCTCACCACGAAAACCTTGAAAACCAGGGAAATGTCCAAAAATGTGTAAAAAAGACTTAAGGAATGCTAAAAATTGTTAAAATTGTATTGCAAAGTAAATTTAAAATTAATTTTTTAATCAAAAAGCTAAAAATTGGGTCCCGCCACGAAAACCCTGAAAAACGGTTAAAATGTTTAAAATGCATAAATATGGTTTTAGAATGCCACAATTCAACTCTAATTCAATTTTAAAAACTGAATGTTATTAAAACAAATTTAACTGTTTAACAAAAAGCAAAAAATTGGGTATCACCACGAAAACCCTGAAAATCAGGTACGAATTTTTAAATCTGATAAAAAGTTAAAAAATGATTAAAATTTACTAAAAACTGACAAAGCGACTAATTTTCATCCAAATATTTACTGAAAATTTTTAAATATTGTAGTTAGTACGAATAAACAAGCTTATTTTTCAAAATTTTTGAAATTTGTTATCAAAAACAACATCCTTTACACATAACTTTATGAAACTAAAAACCACCACCCCCAACAATGCCAAAGTACGCTAAATGACAGCTTTTTCAGACTTTTCATTTCTACCATGTTTCCAGCACGGCGTACTAACCGAGTATGACACGTACTGGAAATAACTCTCGTAAACAACCAAAAGTGATAACGCATCTTTAAATTAAATTTACGTCATTATTTACCCTAGCTTACTCTATTCGGCTCTACGTTACTCTACCTTACTTTATTCTACCCTACCCTGAACCCCCCTACCCTGCCCTACACAGCTCTGTTTTGCAATGCCCTGCCCTTTCCAACCCTATTCTACCCAACTCTACTGTATCATATTTTGCCTTTGTGTTACCTAGCCTTAGCTTTAGCCCTAGCTTTCACTACCTCACCCTAACTGACCCTACCCTAACTTACTCATGGTATAAAAGTGCCTACTACCTAAACCATGGTTAATATATATGACAAACAGGTACGAATTCACCTGTAGAATAATAAAAGTTTCAAAATTTGGAAATGACAGGTGATTCTTCATTTCATACGCATTAAAATGTCATTTTTACATTTACAGATAGTCCATTTTTAACTTCCACGCAATCAAGTTAAAATTTTAATTTTTAATTATTTTATCTTTGGATTATGGAGATTTTGCAAGAATATGCCATTTTTAGTAAATCATGACAAACAATTTAAAAATAGAAGCTAATTTAACACATTTTAAATTAATTAGTCAAAACAAAAAGTTCAGATTTTGAGCTATTTTTTAATGTTTCAAATTCAAATTTTTGATTTCGCGCCAAATTGTAAACTTTATTGGCATTGTGTTGCAAATCTAAAAATATAAAAAGCAAATTATTTGAATGTTTTTTTGTAATCAGAAGGTCTTCAAGAAGCTTTTAAAGTTCTTTAATGTCGTATCAAAAAGTTTCAAATTTGAATTTTTATTTTCCCGCCAAATTTTCGTTTTTCTTGGCATTGTGTTGCAAGTTCAAAAATGACAAAAAATGATCAAAAATAAAATTTTCATAGAATAACTATTTATTTTAGACATTTACTTTACTTCATAATCATCAAAAATGCCATTACCATGTCTAAAAATTCAAATTTCGATTTTCCCGCCAATTTTCATTTTTCTTGGCATTGGATTTTGTAATTATAAATTAAAGTAAAAGTGCTTTTCTGTATAGTAAACATACTTTTTTATACCCATATTATTACGCTAAGCCTGACTTTGATCTAATCCGAGAGATTAATTTGCATAATATGCTGTGTCACTATAGAAACAAATGAAAGTCGATTATAATCGATGGTAAATAATCGTATGTTCGCAGATTATATTCGTACTTTATGTGTTCTGAACGTATATGTTTCATATAATTTTACCCGTTGACCTTTTGACCATTAGTTTATAATTGGATTAATAACATGGGTAATATTCCTTAATATCATGGTTAATATAACTTTTTAAACTATTTTTTGCTTTTCTAAACTTCAATATAATGGTTTGTAGGCCATTATTTTTTCTTGTCTAATTATTTTTGCCATTTTTTAATTACTATTACCTATTATATTACTATAATCACGTTTTTCTCTGACTTTCTCTACCTACTCTCTTTATTTTGCACCCTCTTTCTCATTTTCTCTCGCTTTTTCCATTCGACAAACCTTTCTCTAACCACTCTCTTCTTTTCATGCGCTCCCTTTTCGCGCCAATTTTATTTGTTGCTTTTTCTCACTATCTCTAACCCTTCTCTTCATTTCGCGCCCTCTCTTTTATTCTCGTGGCTTATTTTCTTTTTGTTACGCTCTCTGAACCGCCCTCTCTGTTTCGCACACTCTCTCGAATACGTATTTCAAGAGACCGAATTCGTCTAACTTTGTTTGGGTACTCTCTCATATTCATTTACTCTTTGTTGACGTTTGTTTTTTGGCCCACGGCTTTTCTCTGTTCACCCTCTTCATATAGAACAGTCTTTTTGTTTTCGCCGTTCCTTTTGGTTTTTGTTAATGTGTCTGGCCGGCCTCTTTTCGCCGCACGCACTATATTCTCTCTTCTTGCTTTTGTTATTTGTTACACACTCTGGTCATTCTCTCCCCGTGCCACATTCTCTCTTTCTTTCTGTTTCCTTTTGATTTCCGTCAAAATCCCTGGCCACCCTCCGCCCGTGCCACAATCTCTCTCCATTTCCTTTTGCTTTTCCTTTCCCCTCTGCGCGCTCTCCTCCTTCCCCTCAATCTTTCGCCAATCCGTCCGTTCCAAAACTATTTTCCGTCGTTTTCACTGCCTTTCAACGCGAAATCTCTCGAAATTTTCGCATCCAAGTCGACAAAAATTTCGCCCTGCGGCGTCCGAACGAAAAGACTGGGTAGAGGGGTCGCAACAAGCCCAAAGACGTGTTATAAACGCACATTTCCCCCTTTTTCTTGCAGTTTTCACGCGAAAACACAAAAAAAACTCGCTGTTATTTATGTTTGAGAGTTGTAAACGAGCTCGAACATGGTAATATGGAGCGAACATGGGTCTTTAATTGGATTCATGTCCATTTTGAAGGGTAGTTTGTGGGAAGAAGGGCGGTTTGAAGCGGTTTAGTGGGTGAAATCGGCCTGTTTTGGGAAGGCCCTCAGGGAAAGGACGCCAAATTTAGTGGTTTAAAAGGTTAGAAGCGTGATGTTTGGGTTTGTTTTAAATTAACGATGTTAAATTGGGTTCGACGCTTTTTAAAGGTTGTTAAAGATTGTTTTCATCAAGTTTTGGCGATTTTTCCAAATTTTGTTACCTAAAGTTCACTATTTTTCATTTTTTGAAAATTCTGAAAAAAATTTTTCTTGCTATTGATATAGAATTAAAAAGTAATGTAAAAGCTAATTTTTGTTCACAATTTTCATTGAATTGTCACTACTTATGTCTACAATAACATTCTACAAAATTTCAAAAAAAAACTTAATTTAAGGACCTTCAAATATGTGCCACTTTACAACAACTTTACTACAATTTACAAGATATATTACTTTTTAATCGTCTAGTCTAACTTTATGTGAATTCAATAATAAGGCGTCCTCAGGGTTTTAAAATTTCATTACATTTACATTATCTATCGACTTCATAGCGAATGTTGTAAAAATAAGGCAGTAAAGAAATTTTTTGCATGTTTTTTCTAAATTTCATTTCGAGGTTTGTATTTAGAAAGGTCTTGGCTATTGTTTCACAAATTTTCGAAAAATTACAGTAAGAAATACAGTAGTTATGAATCAAAGAAGTGAGCCGGGTTCGAATCCGCTTCGGTGCAAATGAGAAAAATTGAGTTGTAAAGAAAGTTTTTGCATATTTTTAAAAATTTGCTTTTGACACAATGAATAGGCATGGTATTGGCTGTATTTCCACAAATTTTGGAAATGTTACAGTATATGATACAGTAGTTAATAGTTGTAAAAGCTAGACGGGTTTGAGTTCGCTTGCTGCCAATGCTTAGAATAAACTTGTAAAGAAAGTTCTTACACGTTTTTTAGAATTTGTTTTTTAGGGTTGTATTTGAAAGGGTCCTAGCTGTTTTATCGTAAAGTTTTGAAAAATTACAGTAAGAACCACAGTATTTATGAGTCAAAAAAGTTGGCCGGGTTCGAATCCGCTTGGATGCAAATGACAAAAATAGAGTTGTAAAGAAAGTTTTTGCTATTTTTAAGCCTTTCTAAGTTTAAAACTGACCTTTTTTGTGTGTTTTACTTTCTTGAGTGTTTTATGTTGCCATTCCGAGAAGAACTAATTCGGAATGTTGTAGAATGTCATCCTCTTCTTCATTAAGGCCCAACCTCCCAAGTTGTGGTGGAATAAACGCACATTTTTTGTTTTTTTTTCGACAAATTTTTTGGGGAAAACAATTTTTTATACATACAAAGTACTGGGGCTACGTAATCGCAAGTGTTTTTTGTTGTTTTCGGTATTTTGGAATTGTTTTTGGGTTAGCAGCGAAAGGGTTTATTGATTTGTAAACTTGAAACGGTGGGGGAAACGTTTATCGAAATTGATATCTTTGGGCATGAAATGACATTTTTAACATAACATCTTACTAGAAGATGGTTTATCTAGTTTTTGTTGCGTTTATGGCACGAAATGAGTGTGCAAATCACGTTTTTCGTCATTTGCAGCAGAGCGGGGCCGAACGTGGCTGACTTCTTTGTTTCATAACTACTGTAGTTCTTAAGTAATTTTATGAAACTATGTCATAATGTAGTGTAGACTATTGTTAATGTTTTCATATTAGTGAGATTTTAAGAAATTTGCAAAAACTTTCTTTACAGCTTAATTTTTGCCATTTATACCCAAGCGGAGTCGAACCCGGCTGTCTTTTTTGATTCATAACTACTGTAGTTCTTACTGTAACTTTTCGAAAATATAGCAAAATATACACAATTCTATTGCCAACGTTACAATATAATTATATATATTTTTTAATTTGCAAAAACTTTTTTTACAGCTTGATTTTTGCTATTTGCACCTGTGCGGATTTGAACCCGGCTGACTTTTTTATTCATAACTACTGTGGTTTTTACTGTAATTTTTTGAAAATTTGTCAAAATATGGACAATTCTACTTTGAATGTTATCATATATTCATATTTTTCAAAATCGAGCAAGAACTTTCTTTACAAGAGAATATTCACCCAAATTAGAGCCCATCAATTTGGTAAATGCGCGAAACTGCCAAATCTATTTAAACTACAAATATTTTGTTGCAAAAACTTTTTTTACAGTTGCAAATGCACTTTAGGAGATCAATGACCATTTTCATTCAAATTTTAATTGTTTCGCTTGCTAAATCGAATAAGAATTGGCCGTCTTGCGTGGCCAATTTGGTCAGTTTTTTGCTTCAAAAATTGATTTGGAAATGACTTTTTTCATCAAAATTGTTGCAAATTTAGTGGATTTTAAAGTCTTCTGGGATTGGAAAGAAAGTTCTTTCGGTTTTTTATAAAATGCGTTTTGGAAAGAAAGTTCTTGCGGTTTTTATAAAAAAGAGTTTTGGAAAGAAAGTTCTTTTTAAAAAACTGAGTCTTGGAAAGAAAGTTTTTGCGGTTTTTCGAAAAATGAGTTTTGGAAATAAAGTTTTTGCGGTTTTATAAAAAACTGAGTCTTGGAAAGAAAGTCCATGCGGTTTTTATAAAATTGAGTTTTGGAAAGAAAGTTATTGCGGTTCTTCATAAAATGCATTTTGGAAACAAAATTCTTGCGGTTTTTTGAAAGATGATTTTTGGAAAGAAAGTTCTTGCGGTTTTGCGAAAAATGAGTTTTCAAAGAAAGTTTTTGCGGTTTTATAAAAAATGAGTTTTGGAAAGAAAGTTCTTGCGGTTTTGCGAAAAATGAGTTTTGGAAAGAAAGTTATTGCGCGTGTCTTCGTATTTTACTATTTTTTCATATTTAAATTTTAAAATTTGATTTTTCAGCCAATATGGCTTCGAATTACATTCAGAAGTCATCGCAGTACTCGATGAATCCTCCGCCGGACCCAACAAACTACAGTAGTTCGGCGCAGAGCACTCCAGGTGAGGGTTACCGTAATTTTTGGTTTTTTTTTTCAATTGAAATTTTTTTTGAATTTTAAAAATTTTAAATTAAAAAAAAATATTTTTTGAAAATTTAAAAAATTTAAATATTTTTTGAAATTTTTAAAATTTTTCAAAATTTCAGGACCATCCACCTCAAATATGTCATTTGCGAACAAATTTGTGCTTCCAAAGGCGGCTGCCAATAAGGAATTCGTGGTTAGCAACAAAAATGACAAAAAGTTAACCGCCGTCCCCAAGAAATCTCAATTACCTACGAATCCGACCAGTTCTATGCCAGTTCGACCGACTAGTGCTGACTCGTGCAATACTATCACTCAGTTCTTGATCAAGTATAATGTGGTAAGTAGCCTTACTCGACCGTACCTTATGCTATACTACTTTATCCTATCCTATTCTACTCTACCTTGCCCTACCCTACCCTACCCTACCCTACCCTACCCTACCCTACCCTACCCTACCCTACCCTACCCTACCCTACCCCACCCTACCCTACCCTACCCTACCCTACCATACCCTACCCTTCCCTACCCTACCCTGCCTCGCGCTACCGTACTTTACAATACCCTACCCTATTTTACCCTATCTTACTGTATCTACCTTACCCTATCGTTATCATCATACCTTGTTCTACCGTATATCTGCCTTACCGTACGCTATCGTAAGTTGCTTTATTGTACTTTGCTGTCCCGGATTCTGTTCTAACGTACTCTACTGTTCTCTGCCCTATCCTGTCCTGTCCTACCTTAGGGTACTTTGCCTTATTGTACCCCACCTCACTCTGTCATGCCCTGTCTTACCGTACCATACTCTACTGTTATCTGAACTATCCTGTCCTGCTTTATCTTACCGTACATTGCAATACCATACTCCATCGTACTTTTCCCTGTTTTGTCCTACCGTACCCTACCGCACTCTTCTCTACCCTGTCCTACAGTAGCTCACCGTACTTTACTCTACCCTATTCTTTTCTACCCTACCCTATTCTACGCTACCGTACCCTTTTTAGTAGCTTACAGTGAGCTACTTTAATCTGCCTTGCCTTACTCTATCTTGTTTTTTGCCTTATCCTACTCTATCTTACTCTTAATTCTTTACTTTACAGAGTAAAGAAGACGAGTTTTCTCGAAAAGCGATCGAGAGTTTGATCAAGAAGCTGAAGGACAAACGGGATGAACTCGATGGCTTCATCAACTATATAGCCGGGGTAGGAACGACGGTTGGAACGTGCGTGACCATTCCTCGCACATTGGACGGTCGATTACAAGTGGCAGGCCGTAAGGGCTTTCCACATGTTGTCTACTGTCGTATCTTCCGGTACCCCGACCTGCACAAGAACGAGCTGAAGCACGTGGACTGCTGCGCCCATGCCTTTGACCTGAAGACCGAACTGGTGTGTGTCAATCCTTATCACTACACCCGGATAGCCAATGCGGCGTTGGGACCGCTGGACTTGAGTGCGCTGAACATTAACAGTTTGAATGGCGAGGCTAGGCCACGACCGGGGCCGGGCCGACCGCCTGGCAGCTCGTATGGACCGGCAGCTGCTATGCAACAGCGAATGAAACAACAACAGACTAGTCCAGCGAATAGTGGAAGCAGCTATCCAAATGGAGGGGTTAAAGGTATGGGTTTTGAAAAGAAATGAGGGTGGAAAGAAAGTTTTTGCGGTTTTTTGAAAAATGAGGTTTGGAAAGGAAGTTTTTGCAGTTGTGGAAAAAATAGGTAAAATAAGATAGTGTAGATTACTGTAGAAGTAACGTAGTCTAGGGTTTCTTTCAAAGTGGTAAACGCCTTACTATAGGGTAGGGGAGGTTCTTGCGGGGGTATGATGGGGCTTTTGATAGGGTAGGGCAGGACATAACATATGAATAGAGAGCATACAGTAGGGTCTAGGTAGGGTCGGGTACCGTATAAAGTAGGATAATGTAGCGCGGGGTGGGGTAGGATAGGGTAGGGTACGGTAGGGTAAGGTAGGGTAGCATAAGGTAGGGTATATCAAATCACTTCTATGTAAAATCTTTCCAGGCTACTCCCAATACCCACCCCAAGCCAATGCCCAGTCCAACTATAATCGAATGTCGATGGACCCAACATACCAACGGTCCCAACAACAGTCAGTTCAATATCCAGAGGGGTACCAACGAAATGGTACTAAAAGTACTAATGCAGCCAATCCAGCTGATCCTTACTACAATATGCCTCAGGTGTCACCGTTAAAGAGCAGTAAGTGGAAAGAAAGTTCTTGCGTTTTTGACAAAAATGCGTTTTGGAAAGAAAGTTCTTGCGGTTTTTCATAAGAAACTGTATTTTCAAATTTCAGATGTAATGGCCTCGCCCACCTACCCCCAGTCCAACTACCTCCCCACAGACCCCCAACGCTATCCAGCCGGCTATAACCAGCCGGCTGGTCAGTACTCGAACCAGTATTATCCTGGCTACAACTATCAGTACCCACCTGGCTCAGTATCGCCAGCACTGACCCAGTCTGGTGCAGCTGGTCAAGCGTCACAGTCCGGACAAAAAATGGTCGCCCCAGGCCAGAATTCTAGCCAAACCGGGCCAGCGGCTAGTAATTTGAATTCGACTGGTCAGTCTAGCCAAATGGGGTTGCCTGGCGCGGCTAGCCAAATGGCTGTAAATTCTCAAATGGCTAGCCAAATGACTGCAATGGGTCAGACATCTACCAAACCAGTCCAAGGAAGCGCGGTAGGCCAAACGGCCAGCCAGATGAGTCAAAATGCCCAAATAGCTAGCCAAATGACCCGTAATGCACAAGTGACTCCGGGTGCCCAAATGACTAGCCAAATGGCTTCAAATGCTCAAATGGCTAGCCAATCTAACAGCAGGCCCCAAAGCGTTCAAATGGCTAGCCAATCGAACAGTAGACCACAAAGTGTCCAAATGGCTAGCCAAATGACACCGGGCTCTCAAATGTCAATTCAGTCCATGGGATATGCAGACCAGTCTGGAGCATCTACCCCCAAAGCTTATTCAGTTACCACGCCCTCATACGGTAACCAAACTCCAACACAACAAACCTACAGTAATCAACCTACAACTCAGGGTTACGGTAGCCAAACCCCTACCCCACAAACTTACAGTAACCAAGCTACAACTCAGGGTTACGGTAGCCAAACCCCTACCCCACAAACTTACAGTAACCAAGATACAACTCAGGGTTACGGTAGCCAAACAGCGACAACTCAAGCCTACAGTACCACAAGTGGAGCGGCGCGAGGATACAGTAATCAGTACCCATCAAACTACAGTAATCAATCATCAACCCAATACCCAGGCCAAGCCACCCCGACTGCTAGACCAGCCCAGTCCAATACCCAATATACTCCAGCTCAGCTAGCCGCTTATCAAGCAGCCAAAGCTGGCGCGGCTTATGGTCAAGCTACTCCAGGTACAAACTACAGTAACCAGGCGGGGTACGGTAGCCAGTCTAGCTATCCTCAGGCTGGTTATTCGGCTGATAGCTATAGTAATCAAGGTTATTCGGCTAGCACAGGCTATGTTAACCAAGCTGCTGGAGCGGCTGCTAAAGGCTATGGCTATCCAGACCAAGCGTACGCTAGCCAAGCCAAGTCCGGTCAGTATAACAGCCAAACTAAAGGATATGCAGGCCAGACTAAAGACTACCCATGCCAGACTAAACAACAATATTCAGGCCAGACTAACATCCCAGGCCAAGCCAATCAACACCCAGGTCAGTCCAAGGCACAATACACAGGCCAAACCGGCCAAGCCTACCCCCAGTCCAAACAACAACAACTGGCTTACCAACAAGGCCTAGCTTACCCAGGCCAAGCCTATGGTACTAATCAGTACACGGACCAGGCCGGCTATGTTTACCCCGGATCGGAACTGAACTATGCCAATTATTACCAACAGTACCTTCAAAGCGCCGATCCAATGTTGTATCAAAGCCCAGGCCAACCCAACCAGCTAGGCGAAATTGCTTCGCCAGGCTCGTCGAATGGTATACCAGTGGTCCAGTCCAATGAACCGATTGAAAAGGATAAAATGAAGGAACCTAGTAGGTTTTGGGGGGGGTTGTGAAGCAGTCATAGGTAGGATTGAAAGAGGTCTTATTATGCTCGGCTTCCGGTCGGCCCGGCCCCTACGGGTTAAGTCATAGGGTTGTCCCTATTCGCGGCAGGGTAAAAATTTTTAAAGGCAGGGGTGGGGATAGCAGTCAAGGTTATTCATATTAAACCTAGTGAGTCTCAGGCTACTAAGCTTAAGCCTAATAAGCTTAAGCCTACTAAGCTTCAGCCTACTAAGCTTCAGCCTACTAAGCTTAAGCCTACTAAGCTTAAGTTTACTTAGCCTAGGCGTACTAAACCTAAATCTGCTAAGTTTAATTTTGCTAAGCCTAAGTCTGCTAAGCCTACTAAGCTTAATTCTGTTAATCATAGGCCTAGAAAACGTGGTTTATGCTAGTACTGATGTACCTTTTGTACTGTAATACTCATTTTATATCACATTTCAGTGGCCACAATCGATGAATTCGACCTGATCCTTCACGCCAAGATCGCCCAATTCCACGCCGAGGACAAGAAGAAGCTCCAGCAAGAGAAACGAGTCAATCGCAGCCAGAAACCGGTCCGTGCCCACAACCCAAAACAGCCTGACACAGCACTAAACTACGAAGTACCACACCGTCGTGACCGCTTCCGACCAGCCTTCGAAGTAAAGGGTATAAAGTTCCAGAAGTTTAACTACATCACCGGCAGATCAGCTTATGATCAGCCCGAACTCAAGGAAAAGGTGGCTAAACCTCTTGGCCCAACCTGGCTCACCGTCAACTACAATGAATACAATAGTCCTTGTGGTGAACCGTTCACTGCTGCCAGTCGATTCCCGCAGGTTACGGTTGATGGGTCGGTGAGAATCCATTCAGAAGCTCGATTCTCTTTGGGATGCACTTCAAATGGCAATCGAACTGATGTCTCGGCTGATTGTCTGTAAGTTTTAGCTATTTTTCTTGTTCATGTAGAGGGTAGAAAGCCACACGGGTTCGAATCCGCTTGGGTGCAAATGAAAAAAATTGGGCTGTAAAGAAAGTTCTTGCATGTTTTTTTAAATTTTGTTTTAAGGGTTGTATTTAGAAAGGTTTTGGCTCTTTTGTCACAAATTTTGAAAAAATTACAGTAAGACCTACAGTAGTTATGAATTTAAAAAATCAGCCGGGTGCGAATCCGCTTGGGTGCAAATGACAAAAATTGGGCTGTAAAGAAAGTTTCTGCATGTTTTTTAAAAATCTGTTTTAAGCGTTTTATTTGGAATGGACTTGGCTATTTTGTGATGAAATTTTAAAAAATTACAGTAAGAATTACAGTAGTTATGAATAAAACCAATCAGCCAGGTTCGAGTCTGCGTGTTTGCAAATAACAAGAATTCAAAAGAAAGTTTTTACATGAAATTTTTTTAAATTTGAAAACTTCAGTAACTTTAATTTCGAATATTGTAAAATGACAACATTTTTCAAGGCAATATAGGTACTATATCATACCATTTTCAGCGAAAGAATGCGTCGAGGAGTGCAAATCCTTCGCAAGAACGATGGTGATGTTTGGCTAATCATTATGACCGGGCCAGTCTTCATCCAAAGCACCTATTTGGACAATCAAACCCAGAGAATTGTACAAAATTGGCCTCATGAGTTCAATGTTGGGACCGTTATTAAAGTGTTCGACCTGAACGATTACCATGAAAGGGTGCACAGATGGGCCGAAACCCAACGTGCTGAAGACGCTGGAGGCGTGAACCGCTACAAAGGACCGGGATCGGATTCGGAGGAGGAGGAGTTTCATATGGTAGGTTTTTTGATTAGAGTGGGGGAGGGGATAAAGATTTTTGGGATGGGGCATATTGTTGTAGTTAAACTTTAGGTGCAGTATAAAAAAAATATTTTAGGTAACAAAAAAGTTTGAAAAAAGGTTAAAAATGATAAAAATTTTAAGCAAAAATACGTTTTTGGTCATAATGATCGACTTTTAACTTAAAGGTCTACTTGCAACAGAATGACAAAGATCAGGTTAAATTCTAAATTTTTGGCGGGAAAATGAAAATACAAAAAATGAAATAAAAAAATTATAATTACTAGTTTGAAAAGTACTCTAAAAAGTCATTTTCAACTAAACGTGTTTCTATTTTTTGATTAAAAACATCACTTGCAACACAATGCCAAAAAATCAGGGTACTCGCGAAAAAAAGGCTTAAAAAGCAGATTTTTAGGTAAAAATGTAACATTGTGATATTGAAATTGAATCCTTTATGACTATTCTGCCTATTTTTACATAAAAACGCTTTTGAAACGGAATGCCAAAGAATAAGGGTCAATTTTAAATTTTGGCGGGAAATTGAAAATTCAAAAAATAAATTATAGAAAATAAAAAATATACAAGTTAAAGATGAAAAAGGGCAGCTCATAGTAAAAAAATCATTTTCAGAATCACCGACCACTGGACATTGAAAAACTACGCGACTGGTACACTATCAAGATCTCATTCTTCTATGGCTTTGGCTTTCCCTATTTTAAGCGAAAAGCGGTCCAGGACTGTCCCAGCTGGATAGAGTTTCAACCTCAGCCGTAAGTTTTCTTTACAGAACTTAAAATGGCAAAAACTTTCTTTACATAGCAAAAAATGGCAAGAATTTTCTTTACAGAACATAAAATGGCAAAAACTTTCTTTACAGAGCATAAAATGGCAAAAACTTTCTTTACAGAATTTAAAATGGCAAAAACTTTCTTTACAACTCAAAATTCAAAATCACAATTTTAAAAAAATTAAATTCCAGAGCTGCTGACATTCTGGACGAAGTGCTACGCGACCACGATGACTACATTCAGCAACAGGAGGTCAACAACCCCTATGGTGAATACTTCTCTGACTCCCCAGCCAATTCCTTGTTCTCTGATGAAGAAGGCGATGGAAACCAACCTTCAGTATCAGGACTGCCTCTCAAAGACTTGTAGACTTCTATTCCTTCAGTAGACAAAATTGCGAATTTCAAAGAATTTTAATCAATTTTAATCAAATATTATATGTGAGATTTTTAAGGGAAATTTGCTGTCATTCACTATATTTTTAGCTCCTACACTTCTAATATGACATTTTATTGAACATTTTAACTAAAAATTGTAAAAAAAATGTGGTTTAATCTATTTTTGTCTTTATTTTGTCATTTTGTTATGTTTTTTGTTATATTAACATAGTTTATAAAAAATTCCAGAAAATGTGTCATTATGACATTTTTTTATCTTTTACAAAAAGTTTGAAATTTTAGTTACATACTCACTAGTACAGTATGAGTATACAAAAAAATTTTTAAATGATTATGTACGTTAAATGTGTCATCGGCACAGAAATTCTAAAAAATGTGTCACCATGACAGATTTTAAAACCAGTTTTCAAGTTATAAAGTAGTTACAATTTTAATTATAAGGTTTGAAAATCTATAATAAAAAATGTTTATCATTTTTAAAAAAAGCCGTCATTATGACACTTTTTCTGTAAATACGTCATCAATATTATGTTTGTCTAACTATGTGACTCAAACCTGATATTTCATCGAAATTCAATTCCAATACTGTCATATTTATCATATTTTCGTCTCCAACTTAACTTTTAATCTCGTCTTGATGACACAAAAAATTTTAAAAAATGTGTCACCATGACTTACTTTTATACTTGTACTTCTATTTTACAAACATTACGCTTAGGTATTAGAAACGACGTGTAGTAGCCCCCAATTCAGAATATCACAACACCGAACCGCTTTCAATAGACTTTTATGTTATACTTGTAGACCTCAACCATTGTATTTGTTATGATCCTACGTAGAGATTGTTAGTTGTTATAATCAAGATGTGTAACTAATCAATTAATAAATATATATGTTAATAATTTTAGATTTAATTTTTTTTTAGTTTTTGGGTTGGTTTAGGCTTAAAATGCGGCAAAAACTTTCTTTACAGGGTTGTTTTATCAAAGCGGATTCGAACTTGGCTGAATTTTTTCCTTCATAACTACTGTAGTTCTTACTGTAACTTTTTTAAAATTTATGAAAACATAGCCAAGACTTTTGCAAATTATTGTGTTATAAGTTTCATTAGAAGTGCAAAAACTTTCTTTACAGCCTTGTTTTTGTCTCATGCAACCAAGCGGATTCAAACTACTGACTTTTTTGTTTTAAAGCTACTGTAGTTCTTCTTGTAATTTTTTTAAAATTTAGCAAAATTTACACAATTCTATTGCCAACGTTGTGATAACTTTGTATTTTTTAAATTTGCGCAAGGACTTTCTTTACAGTCTTGTTTTGGTCCCTTGCATCCAAGCGGAGTCGAATCCGGCTGACTTTTTTGATTTATAACTACTGTAGTTCTTACTGTAATTTTATAAAACTAACTCATAATATAGATTAGTTTATTGTTGGTCTTGCCATATTATTAAAATTTTTAAGAATTGGCAAAAACTTTGTTTACAGCTTTATTTTTGTCCCTTGCATCCAAGGGGATTCGAACTCGAGTGCTTTTTGGTCAAAACATGCAAAATTTTTTTCAATTTCAATTTTCGAATTTAAAACGCATTTTTTTAGTTTCCTTTCAAATAGAACCCCATAATATAAAAGTGCAACAATGACTTTATTGACAATATTACAAATTGTTAGGGGCAGCCGGCTCGGCGCGTGTTATTGTTGTATTCGTGGCGTCGTCGCAGGTCGTCAGTGTTAGTTGTTGTTTCTTCCGTAACCGTAGGTTGTTGCGGCGCATTTTGATTAGGTACGTGTTCAGCGCGATGAATGTCAACAAGTCCGTGGGGTTGTCGAATTCGCCGGCCATCATCAGCTGCACGGTGGTCTGTTCGAGGTACGAGCTGGGCGAGCCATTGATTACAGTATACAGTCTTAGGAAAATGTAGCTTATGGCCTGAAAAATACTAAAATTTAAAAATTTTTGAAAAGTGTGCAAGAACTTTCTTTACAGCTCAATTTTTGTCATTTGCACCCAGACGGATTCGAACCCGGCTGACTTTAAAGCTTCAAAACTACTGTATTTCATACTGTAACTTTTTCAAATTTTGTGAAAAAGACAGCCAAGACCTTTGAAAATCTGCACCTCAAAACGAATTTTCAAAAAACATGCAAAAATTTTCTTTACAGCGCAATTTTTAAATTTGCACTCAAGCGGATTCGAAACCGGCTGCCATTTTTAATTAATAACTACTGTAGTTCTTACTGTAAATTTTTCAAATTTTGTGAGAAAACAGCCACGACCTTTCCCAATACAGACTCAATACAAATTTTCAAAAAATATGCAAGAACTTTCTTTACAGCCCATTTCTTTCATTTGCACTCAAGCGGATTCGAACCCGAGTGCCTTTTCGCTCAAAAAACTGCCATTTCTTATCAAAACCGCATACAAACCTTTCAAAAATCATTTTAAAGACAAAGTACGATAAACAACGAACTCACTAAACTCCAACTCAATAGCATAATGACGACGAAAACGTCGTAACAATGAATCGGAAAGAGGTATGTGGTTCGGATGTAGGTGATAGTCTCGTTGGATGCGGCAATACTGGACCAATTCAAACTCAAGCTATCGTTCATAATTCAGAGGTTTTCATCGAGCTCGGCACCCGGGACGAGCGTATCGACCGGTCGGTGACAGAGAAGTGTGAAAAAGTAAGGTTTTTGGACGAATTTTTAAAAATTCGAAAAAATTTTTAAATTTTCAAAAAAAAATTAAAATTCAAAAAGTTCAATATTTCATTAAAAATTCAAGCTGAACATAACAAAAGACCAAAAATATATCATTTTTACTATTTATCCAACTATATAAAAGTATATCTATATATTATCATTGGCTCTGATATGATCAGTTGATGGGGCTGTAGTTGAATGGCTGTACATGATGAGAAGTGCCTAATTCAATCTGAAAACGGTTTAAAATGTCATTATTTACATTTTTTTCAATTCTACTTTACTTTACCTACTCAAAAACGGACTTGAAACACAATGCCAAGAAATTTTATTTTTGGCGGAAAAACTAAAATTCAAAAGTTATCCTTGCAAAAAAAAACGTATTTTACAACGAAAAAACAAAAAAATCTTAACAATACACAATTCTGCAACAATATACCCCCGAAAATCGCCTTAAAACACAATGCCAAGAATTTTTATTTTTGGCGGAAAAAATTAAATTCAAATTTTTTTTCAAGCCCAACGTTCGATGAACAAAATATGTCAAAATCAATTCCATATGGCCATTAAAAACCCCTCCTTACCAAATGATCCAACTGTTTTTGGCCATAAATGACACCTCCAGCTTGTTCACTTCGTTTGATGTTTAGTCTCTCCGGATCGCCTGGTACCATGACTTTTTTGTTCTCATCGACCGGTCGTAAGTTCCGCGTTTCATCTATGAATTGTTGTAGACGTTCATTAAAGTTGGGAGCGAAGCAGTCCGGATCTATGGCCACGAAGAATTGTCCCTGAAATAGAAAAATAACATGTTTATGGGAAAATATAATGCTGTAAAGTAAGTTTTTGCAACCTTTTAAAAATTTAATTTCAGAATGTTATAGGTGAAGGTTTTAGCTGTATTAACACAAAGGTTGAAAAAATTACAGTAAGAACTACGGTAATTATGAATCAAAAAGTCAGGCCAGTTCGAATCCGCCTGGGTGCAAATAAAGAAAATAAAGCTGTAAAGAAAGTTTTTGCAAACTTTTCAAAAATCTGATTCATGTGACATATTGGTAAAGGTCTTGGCTGTATTAACACAAAAATTTTAAAAAAATACAGTAAGAAATACAGTAGTTATGAATCGAAAAAGTCAGACGAGTTCAAATCCGCTTGGGTGAAAGAGAAAAAAATAGATGTGTAAAAAAAGATTTTGCTAATTTTTTAAAATTTTCTTTTATGCATCTATTTGCTAGCAGTCTTAGCTTAAATTTTGCAAAATTTCAAAAAATTACAGTAAGAACTACAGTAGTTATAAATCAAAAATGTCAGCCGGGTTCGACTCCGTTTGATTGTCAGTGACAAAAATAGAGCTGTAAAGAAAGTTTTCGAGCAATTTTTAAATAACAAAAAGTGAAATCATGACTAAATTGAAACTATGGCGATCACATCATCGTATTTTACCTACCAAATCCGCGATTCTGTCGGTGTCACGCCAAGTTCGAACGTTTTTCCCGAATGTTCCGCCACTTAAAATCGAAGAAAATATTTCGACCATCATTCCTAGGCCAGTTCCTTTGTAGCCTCCTGAAAGTAAAAATCGCAATATATTTCTTTACAGAGCATAAAATGACAATAACTTTCTTTCCAAAGCTCAATTTTCAAAAAACCGTAATGACTTTCTTTCCAAAACACATTTTTCAAAAAACGCAATAACTTTCTTTACAAACCATAGAATGGCAACAACTTTCTTTCCAAAACTCATTTTTCAAAAAACCGCAATAACTTTCTTTCCAAAACTCATTTTTCAAAAAACCGTAATGACTTTCTTTCCAAAACTCATTTTATGCAAAACCGCAAAAACTTTCTTTCCACTACTCAAAAAACAGAAACCCACCACTTTCTTCGCCGCCGCCGAGGGGTAAGAGTCCGCCGCCGCGTTGAGTCACATCGACCGGGTCTGTGGTCGATTTTCCTTGCTTATCAGCGCCCCATTGTAATGGGATATGTTCTCCTTTCCTTTCAGCTAGCTCGATTTTCCCCAATGCCACGGCTGATGTTGCCATATCTAATGCAAAGTCGTCTTGGCCGTTGGCACCGGCCACGAGAGCTAGAGGGTTTGTGCCTAAAGCATGTTGTGATGCACGGTTTGGAAAGACCAAAGGCGAGGTGTTGGTGCCAGAAAAGCCCTGGAAAGAAAGTTTTTTCAAGTTTTACATTAAAACTAGAGGTACAGATAAAAGTGAAGCCTAAATTTTTTTATAAAAACCTAAAATTTAAAAAAAAATTAAATTTCAAAATTTACCATTAATCCCTGTTTCTTGAGTAACAATGGCCAATATCCAGCAATGCCATAATGGTTAGATCCTTTACAAACCACCCATCCAATTCCGTGCTCCTTGGCCAACTTCGCGGCCAAATCAGTGCAGAAATGGCCCACAACTGCCCCCAGACCGTTCTTACCGTCAACCCAGGCTGTAGCACCTTTTTGCTTTAAAACCTGGAAAGAAAGTTCTTGCTATTACCATTTTATGCCCGGTAAATAAAGTTATTGCCATTTTTTGACTTTTAAAAAAAGTTATTGCCATTTTTTGAATTTTAAAGAAAGTTATTGCCATTTTATGGTTTGTAAAGAAAGTTAATGCCATTTTTTGCTCTGTAAAGAAATTTATTGCCATTTTTAGGTGTTTAAAGAAAGTTCTTGTCATTTTAAGCTCTGTAAAGAAAGTTCTTGCCATTTGATAATCTGTAAAGAAAGTTCTTGCCATTTTATGACCTTTACAGAAAGTTATCGCCATTTTCAGTCCTACAAACAAAATTCCTTCTATTTTACCTCAGGCACAGCATTGGCACTGCAATTTCCACTCCTACAGTCCTCCATGTATATCCGAAGCCGATTCAATCCATGTGAATAATGTCCGCGTAGATCAGCACAAATCAGTAGATCCGCTACTTTACCGCCATTGTCTTCCGAAGCTCCAACTGATTTCATACATTCGACCACATATTTCCGCATTTCAGGCACTTTCACAACAAACTGCTGGGGCTTACTAGCCATGGTTCGGACACTAAAATGCAAAATTTTGTATGTTACAGTAATCCAATCTTCTTGAAATTTTTATATAATCAATATTAATCTAATAGCTTAACAAACTCATCAATCAAACCTTAGTAATCACATTTTAAATCGGCTAAAACAATCATTTTCTAAAGCCCTTCAAGCCAAACTTACTAAACAAAATTCAAAATTTGTGTACATTACAGTAATCGGATCAGTATAATTTTTTATACAAGTTTTAAAACAGAATTTACTTTGTAACGAACAATACATACTTAATAAATAACTCCATTTTTATTGTAAAATACGGAAAGCATCCCGAAATTAAGCAAAAATCAAAAAATGCCTTATAACTTTTGTTACAGTAACCAAATAATTTCGATTTTAATTGTTCTACTTCGAAAAGCTTAGCTTTCTAAAAACATCAAATTTGTTACCCAAACATTTGAAATTCCTCAAAAAAAATTAATTTCCCCACCAACCACCAGTCAATACCTACAACAATATCGCTTTCACTGATTAAACCCCACTTTCTCCAAGTAATAACTTTCGCTAGTTCAAATTAGTAAGTAAACAAACAAATCAAACTATTAAACTACTAAACACATTAATTTAAGACCTAAGATCACGTATAATATTGAAAACTTACCAGCGCGAGCCATTTCTTATCGTCCAAACCGCTGAAATCATATCGAAACTCGAGGTTTTTAGCCAAAACTCGAGTTCTTCAGCCAAGTATTGATAAAAAACGAATTGTAAGTGTAGAGATACGTGCAGAATGGACCAGTTTAGTAGCAATTTACAATAATTTCCCTCGTTTGAACATTATTTTATTCGTTTCGAACGCTTTTTGGGGGAAAAAAGAGAAAAATTGTTATCAAAAAAAGATTTTTCTTTTTTGATTTTTCATTGGCATTTGATTTCAAGAACAGTTTTTGACGGATGCATAGGGTTTTTAGGTATAACAAGGCATTATTTTTTAGGTGTTTAGGTAATCTCTAAAATTTTTTTAAAATTTTTATTAAAAAACAAATTTAACCTTTACGTAACAAAAAATATGATTTTAGGCAATTTTAGGTAAAAAGCAACAGGACAAGGCGGTGAAGGACAAAGTAAGGCAATGCAGGGTAGGTTAGATTAGGATAGAGTAAAGTAGGGCAGGAGTGCAAGGTAAAGCAAAGCAAGGTATTTTAGGACAGGTCAAGGTAAGGAAAAGCAAGACAAGGGCAGGGTAAGGAACGTTTACATTAGGGTAGGGCAAAGTAAGGCAGTTCGAAGTAAGGCAGGTAGGGTAATGTAGGATACGGTAGGGTAGAGTAGAGTAGGGTAGTGTAAGGTAGGGTAAGGTAGGATAGGGTATAGTAGGGAGAGTAGGGTAGGGTAGGGTAGGGAAGGGTAGGGTAGGGTAGGGTAGGGTAGGGTAGGGTAGGGTAGAGTAGGGTAGGGTAGGGTAGGGTAGGGTAGGGTAGGGTAAGGTAGGGTAGGGTAGGGTAGGGTAGGGTAGGGTAGGGTAGGGTAGGGTAGGGTAGGGTAGGGTAGGGTAGGGTAGGGTAGGGTAGGGTAGGGTAGGGTAGGGTAGGGTAAAGATTAACAAAGTAAAAGATTTCATTTTTATTTATTAATAATGATATAACAATTATTTACACAGTACGTTAATCAAGGTAATCATTATAACTCATATTCATTATCTATCCACTATGTGCTTCTAATCTTCACCAGAGCCTTCTACATTAACATTGGTGTCTTCCTCAATATGTGACAGAGGTGTTTCAATGATGGCTACGACCACTTCTTTAGCATCGGATTTAAAAACAGACGGCTGGCACTTGTACGTCAACTCTGTGGGTGCCAGTTTGATGAGATCGTCGCTTTTCCTGCGACATCGTAACGGAGCCGCAGAAGCGGTGACAACGATTAATAACAGAGTAATGTAGAACAATCTAGACATTTTAACCACGGATTCGGTGAAAGTAAACCGCGAGGAGAAGCCGAACCCGGCTGTCTGCCGGCGATATTCATCAAGTGTATCAGCGGTTGTCGCGGATTACAATTTCAAAGTTAAAAGTTCATCTTTAAAGTAAATGTTATTTTTAGATTGCATTAGCCTAAATGTATTAAAAATGTACATATTGAAGTAGGCCTTTGTTTTACGAATTATTGTAACGCCGGAGATGTGACCTAGCCTAAGCCTACTTAACCTAAGCCTACATAGCCTAAGCCTACTAAGCCTAAGCTTACTAAATTTAAAGCGTACTAAGTCTACGTTTATCGTCGAATTATTAGCAGCATTGCCTAATGTTGTTGACAAAGCAAGATAGTCTTAGAGAAATTGCAATAAATATTGTGACGCAACATTTGTTATGTAATATTCAACATTTGTTATGGAATATTTACGGCTTTAAGGATCTGCTGTATACTAAAACTATATTGAATGCTAAGCTTACTAAGGCTAGGCCCACTAAGCTTAAGCTAGTAAGCATAGGCGTACTAAGTCTAAGCCTTCTAAGGCTAAGCCTACAAAGGCTAAGCCTACTAAGCCTAAGTCTACTAAGCCTAAGCCTACTAAGCTTAAGTCTACTAAGCCTAAGCCTACTAAGTCTAAGTCTACTAAGCCTAAGCCTACTAAGGCTAAGTCTACTAAGCCTAAGTCTACTAAGCCTAAGCATACTAAGTCTAAACCTACTAAGCCTAAGCCTACTAAGCCTAAGCCTACTAAGCCTAAGCCTACTAAGCCTAAGCCTACTAATCCTAAGCCTACTAAGCCTAAGCCTACCAAGCTTAAATCTGCTAGTCCTAAACATAGTAAACGTGGAGCAAAAAGTCCTTTTACTTTTCTTCAAAATAAGCGGACTCCTTAAACCGGTTGGTTAAACAAGCAGCGATAAAAGAAGTTATCACCGTTTCCGGATCTCATGAATTTCTGGTTTTTTCAAATTTTTTTTTAAAATTTTTTTGTTTTTTTTTCGTTATTTTTAATTTGTCACTTCCTCAACACTAATGTCATACTATTTTTTAAAGTACAACGAGTTCAAGGAAAAGTTAACTAATAAACAATCCAAGGCCAAGTTAAACAATAAACTTTATTGAAAGTAATCACACAGATTACCGCGATTGCACGTTTCCCGGGGACCCGTTCATAAATTAGGTTTCAGTGGGAGTTTCCAGCTTATCCTCTGCGGTGTTTGCGTCCGCGACGGTGCTTGCGTCCTCTGCGGTGCTTGCGTCCGCGACGGTGCTTGCGTCCGCGTCTTCTGCGGTGACGGCGTCTGCGGGCAGCGGCGGCACGAGCGATACGGTCGTGGACGGCGTCGGCCTGAAATTAGGGGGAATTAGAGAGGCGTTGGGATAGTATTGGAAGAATGGTGGTTTAGGAGAAAGTAGGGTTAAATATTTTGACAAAATTTAATTTTTATTTTCAGGACTAGAAGTTAAAAAGCCAAAAGAACTGTATACCAGAAGCTTCGGATCGTTATTATTATGAAAACCTATGTCTAAGGTCAATAGAAGGCCCAAAGACAACTTCAAGGACTACTATTCGTTATTCATTTTCAAATTTCGAACCCAGCAGTAACTATAAAATGCCACGCCAAAAACTTACGGCTCCGACGGCGGTGGAGGAAGCTTGGAGAGCGTCTCCAGCCTCAGGCTTTTCGACGGCGGCGACGAGGCCGATCAAGAGCACCAACAGGCAGATGATGTGGAACCACTTCATGTTGAATGGATGCCCATTTCCGTGCCGTCCCGACGCTTAAATACCCTGCGGGCGGCGCACTTTCGCTGGGCGGGACAGGCGTTTTTTTTCATCGCGCTGAAACCCTTATCGGCGGATTCTGGAATTGTTGTCGGGCAAACCAGTTGTCAAAGCAACAAACGAAACACTGCCCACCTAACGTAATCAATACAGCAATTTTGGAGCTAAACTTGCAATTTTTCAAACGTTTTTGGAAAAGTGTTTTTTAAAGATCGAGCGATGCGATATTTTGAGGCTTCTAAGCAAATGTTGCATTAGCGTTTTGTTAGGTGCCGGGCAATCAGGGCTTCTCATTGTGATCAGAATTCATTTACAGATCAGCATTTATAATGTTCAATATCTATTTCCCGTTTAACTTTATTCGTGTCCAAGCTGATCAGGCTCTCCGCTTACCTTCTACTGCATATAGACAAGTAGAGCCTAGAACTTGTAACCGAGCTGGCGTTTAAAGGTCTTCCTCTAGTATATTAGGTTTTTTTTGTTCTTCTTTTGTACCAAGCTTTACAGTAAAGCGCTTGTTAAGACCACCAAACACACAATATAGTACTGTCCGGTATAAAACTTGTAAAATTTTTAAAATTAAACTAAACAGCACGTAAGAATACACATTGTCTTGTACATATAAAGCACAGAAACTCAGGATACATTGGAACATTGTCTTACGAATTTCATCGTGCTGAAGCTCAACTGCTGATGTGGTTTTGTCATCAAGTCATTTACTGTTTACGCAATTTTGTTGTCAGCAATTTTACTACCCTTTTACTCATGGCTCATAATAAACACGAATGTCAGGTGCTCATTCATGAGTCATGAAACTTCTAAATCAGGTTTCATTGTGACAACAATTGCGTTGATGTGCCACGAATTCAAAGAAAAACAAACTCGTCTTTGTTATAAAAATGAGACGTTCATTTATCAAATTCACTTAGCGGATAATGGATATACGAAAGATTTGGAATTTCCTATACGACAGAAATATTACTACAAAGTAAAAAAGTGTCCACCACGTGTTTTGCGTGAAGACTTCGAAGCTTTTCTTATGAAAAAACAAGTCTGTTCAAAATAGAAAGGTTTGAGGATTTTACAGTAATGTGAGGCACAAAGTAGAAACAAACATTGGCCTACCGAGTCCTAGAACAACACCAAACCAGCTTTGACATTCCGCAACAGTAATCATAACATGAGTAACTACGAGTGAAACGGGATTAGTCCAGTTGCTAAAGTTTTTTGGTTTTCCTGATGACCGGTGTAGCGTATAGCTTTTGTTCGTCTTGTCATGGCTAGTATATCTCCCGTTGGAAGTTTAAAAGAGTAGGTATTATATCAATGTTTTTAACATTAGATGTTTTATCAAAGCTTTTAACATCAGGTGTTTTTTCAAATGTGTTAAGGTCGAACGGTGTGATTAATAGGGCAGAATAATCTTTAATTAGGTGCAAATTGTCAGCCGACGACGTTCTCTCGTTCTTTTCTGTAGCAAATTTTCTCGCGATCCGCCGGAAATCGCTTGAATCCGACAAAAGCTTAATAAAAATCATTCGACGATAATTTACGACAATCAGTGACGATAAGTACAGTGTTGTCTGTCTGACAAAACTGTAATTATTTATAGTTGTCTGACTAGGCTTAGGCTTCAGATCTAGGCCAAGCTGTAACTATTTTTAATGAATTTCTTATTGTTGTATGTAAAGCAACTAAACTTAAAAGTTGTTGCAAATCAGATTATATAATAGTACTGACAAGGCCTGGCTTGCATCTTTAAAAATGGTTGTTCAAGTACTGTATCGAGAATACATGCTAAAACGATGGTCAAAAGAGGATCAAACGGGGTCTTACAAAGAAAATGAGAAAGATTAGGAAAATAGATGGTAAAATATAGAAAGAACTAAGTAATAATGCATAATTATAATCACTTTGATTAAAAATTGTTTAATAACTTGTATACTACACTGTAAAAAAGCTGAATTCGGGATGGGCCAGTTTTAAGCTCTTTTGCCAAACGTTAAAACAAGAATAGCTCCGTTGGCCTTCATCTGAACCTTGAACATCGTTGCACCTCAGCACAGTACGTTACAGTCTACGGCATTGAAAATCAACTAATCTAATCTATATCTCCAGAATTTTTTTTGTAATTGTAGTAGACGCTTGGGAAATGTACGTTCAAGTTTAAAATTTAAAAGAGATGTATATTTTCTGGTTTGTACCAATAACTTATCGACAAAAATTCGAATCTATATTAGCCAGGTTAAGTGTGTGCAAGTATTGGTGCCACGGTAATCGAAATTCCAGTAAAACTCTTGTACAATGTAGTTCTTGAAGATTTAAAAATTGTTCGTTATAAAGCAGTTTTGGTATACAGAAGTTCTAAATGTACTGTGTAGTATTAATCATCGACTCAAAGTGGTTCGTTATACGGAATTTTATAGTGGAGTTCATTGTGTCTACCTTTATCTATGCTCAAACCTATATTTTTGCGAAGTACAAAGATCTAAGACTGGTAAAAACTGCTAATTGAAATGATGCTTTTTGACCATGATGACTTAACACGTCAGACCGGACATCATAATTCAAGCTGCAACTTTATGGTTATCGCTTGATCTTTTTTATTGGTTTTGAAGTTGTGTTCTGTGTTATCTTTAACTTTGTCTATCCATTACTTTTGCTTTGCGTATCTATACCTTTTGTTCTGTGTATCTATTACTTTTGCTCTGTGTATCCACATCTTACGTTGTCTTGAACTTCATTGTTTCTTACAGCTTGTGCAACGCTTTCTCTGATGCTTGAACGTTAATTGTTGGCTCTTACTTTGTATTATAGTTCAGAAACTGCTTCTTCTACTATCTTTATCTATACTTCTTGCCCATCTAGCACGCTCTTCTATCCACCTTCCAATCAAGTTCATCTACACCAACATCTATATCTCAACAATCTCCACGCAGAAACCTGGCGATTCCAGGCTAGTCAAGCGTTTTTTCCCTTCTTTACCCAGTATTTTCCTTTTCCGTTCACCAACCGACGAAACATTACGCCACCTCAAACAAGCACGCCCGCAGGGCATAAAACAATTTTGCGACAAGTTGCGCCGCCTATTCTCGTCCGCTTACTCAGTGGGTATTTAAGCCGAGCAACGGCACGGAATCAGGCATCCATTCAACATGAAGTGGTTCCACATCATCTGCCTGTTGGTGCTTTTGATCGGCCTCGTCGCCGCCGTCGAAAAGCCTGAGTCTGGAGACGCTCTTCAAGCTTCCTCCTCCGCCGTCGGAGCCGTAAGTTTTTGGCATGGCATTTTGTAGGGTCTGGAGGATTAGAAAAGCATTTTACAGTTTTTGCTGGGGCAAGATGTAAAAATAATAACGCATAGTAGTCGTTGAAGTCGCTTGTAATTACTTATTTGGGCTTTCAAATGATCCTAGACATAGGTTTTGACGATATTAAAGATACGAAGCTTCTGATATATGCTTCTTTTGGCTTTATAAATTCCAGTCCAGCGAATAAAACTACATTTTTGTACATTATTTACCCTTACATCCTGAAATAATGATCACACTTCCAATATCATTTAAACACACCTCTGATTTTCCCCAAATTTCAGTCCGAAGTCGCCACCGACCGTGCCGCCCGCGCCGCCGCTGGCCGCAGACGCCGCCACCGCAGAAGACATGGACGCAAGCACCGTCGCGGACGCAAACACCGCCGCGGACGCAAGCACCGCAGAGGACGCAAACACCGCGGTTAAGCACTGAACTGCTTCAACATCTCCACTAACTCCTACCACAACATTATGTGTACATAATATTGGGCGAGTGCAATAACTCTTCTTTCTCTTATCGTAGTTTCGACTAGCAATAAATGATTATTTAAGAATTTTTGAGGGATGATCTTTGGTGAGGATGGTTAAAATTGGGCTTGGAAAAGGAGGGGGAAAGTATAAGAAAGAGGCAAGGGAAATTTGGCTTAAAAAAGGGATTGGGCGAGGAGAAAAAGACAGGGGGGGGGGAGATAGTGGGGGGGGGGAGGACAAAAAAACACATAAAAATTTTTTTCTGTATACTTTTTATTTTGGTCCTTTTATCAATTTTTGAAAAAAAATCTGTATCGTTTTAAGAAAAATTTTTACCACGCCCTGGAAGGAAATCAATATGCCGACACTCAAAATGCCATTTACAATATTTTTTCTTATAAAAAATTCATCATTTCTAATTAAAAACGTCAAAAAAGTTTTTAAAAAAATTGCACAGTGCAAGCACATAAAATCTGCACGCTGCAGCCCTATGTAATTTCACTGGCTGCACTGTGCAAGAAATTAAAAATTGCACGGTGCAATTTTTTTTTCAAAAAATTTTTTATAACTTCAAAAAAATTAATAATGACATTTTGACCAGAAAAGTTTCGTTTTTTTGTCATACTAACCTAATAATGATCACCAAAAATGCTTTTCAACTATGTTTTTTAAAGTAAATCTAACTTTAAAAAAATTGAGCTCACACTTATCCCTTTATGAATAAAAACACCTAGAATTCGGAGAAGCAGCTACAAAGATCGTGTTTTCATAAAGGTAATCCAAATAAACGAAAGACATAAGAAGAAAAGTGCGTAAAAAATTGTCGAAAACTTATCGAAAAAGCGCGCAAAAATAAAAATTTTCTTCGTTTATCTTGTCGCTGACTTTGTTTTACGCCAACGTGTTCAATTTTCAATGGCTTTTACTTGGTTTTTGTTGTGAGATCAAAGTCTTCAAATTTAAAATTTTTGCCTTTAGCTTTAGCTTTGGCTTTGCTTTTTTAAATTTTAGCTCCGGTTCTGACTCCAGCCTCGGAGCCAAAATCGGAGCAGCTAGAGTCAGAGCTGGACTCGAGAGTCCATTAGTACTGAAATTTGACAGTTTTTGAATGCTTCTTTAGCTCCAACTTTGCTTTTTTTTAAATTTCAGCTTCGGTTTCAGTTCCGGAGTTGAAGCTGAAGCTACCTCGGAGCTGTAGTCGCTCCGGAGTTGTGTTAGTTTTGGGAGTCTTTAGTACGACATTTTCTGCCTCTGGCTTTAACTCAAGGTCCGCTTTTTTTAATTTTAGATCCGGTTTTGCCTCTAGCTGCGAAGCAGAAGCCAAAACAGCTCTAGAACCAGAGCCGGACTTGAGGGGTCTTTAGTACTGAAGTTTGACGTTTTCTGGCTCAGGCTCCAGCTTCGGCTCAGCCTTATTAATAACTTCCTGCTTCGGCTCTAGCCCCGGACCCGCAGCTGTCCTGGTGCCAGAGTCATATCTGTCCCGGAGCAGAAGTCGTGAAAATATAGCTAAAAAAATGACAAACTATGGCAAAGTAAAACATTTTGGAAAAATTAGTAATAACTTTCTTTACAGCTTCACTTTTTTGTGTTTTGAACTCACGCGGAGACATACCTGGCTAACTTTTTTGATTTATAACAACTGCCATTTCCATTAATACATTTTGAAAATTTGTGACTATGCAGCCTAAACACCGTTTAATATTGTTCACAATGCAAATTTAAAAAAACCGCAATAACTTTATCTACAACACTATTTTTTGTTTCTTGCACCCAAGCGAAGACGTACCTGGCTGACTTTTTTGCTTTGTAACTACTGTAATTCTTACAGTAATTTTTTAGAAATATGTTGAATAATAGCTTTATCTATGGTTAATTATGCCATTATATAAAAATCTTTGAAAAGTTGCAAAAACTTTCTTTACAGCTTATTTTTATCTACAGCTTATCTCCCTTCTTTTAAACTCGTGGCTAATTTACCGCGCCGTTAACTCACTTTACCTTTCACAATTTACCTCTTACATTTTTAACAAGGTTCGTTTTAGAAATGTCATCAAAAACAGAATTGGCACTAGATGACATTATCAAGGCAAACAAGGACTCTCGTAAGAAACGTGGTGGAGCCGTACAAAAAGAAGACGACAAGAAGCCATTACTACAAAGTACGATAGCCAAACCGGAGCGTAGCCGAGTGTCCAGGCCAGAACGTAGCCGAAGACGTCGTAGAAGTTCTCTAACTCGACGTCGGAGTTCAGTAGCCAGTCGACGATCCGTAGCCTCTCATCGTTCTGTAGCCTCTCATCGCTCTGTAGCCTCTCATCGTTTCGTGGCTTCTAGAAGTCGTTCCACAGCTACAGATGACCTACACTTCCTACGAATTGGCAACATCCCATACAACGTGACCGAACGTGAACTATGTAGCCTGTTCGAGCAGTACAAACAAGCGACAGTCTTTTTGCATCATGATTCTAGAGGCAGGTCCTTGGGTACGGGAGAGATTTGTGCTCCAGAAGGCACGGTAGACCGAATCAGACGGGATTTTAACGGAGTTTTAATTGATAAGAAGAAGCTCGATATTAGAAGCGTAGCACCGTTGATCAAGATTACCGACAGAATTAGTGTAGCCAATGATGTGAAGAACAGAAGCCAAAGTCACGATGGAGGGAAGCGAAGAAATTCAGATGGAAGTGACAAAGGAGGGAAAAATAAAAATGATGTCAGAGTCCGAAATGACGATAAAGATCAAAATGATTCCAAAAATGATGGTCAAGATGCCTCAGTGAGCCAGAATAGTTCTAGAAGTCACGATGAATCAAAAGGAACCGATTCACAAAAAAGCAGCAACAATGGAAGCACAGCAGCTAAAAAGTCAAAGAAAAAGAAGAAGAAGACCACGAAGATGCCAAAAATAACGACAGAACAGTTGGACAAAGAATTGGAGCAATATATGGCACAAAAGGCTAATATCAATGACAATGTTACTGACAATAGTGGTACTGATGAAAAAATTGAAGTAGATGAACACCCAGATGACAAAGTAGACGACTCGGGGATCGAATCCTAATGTTTTTTTAAAATTATTTAGGCTTATTAAATATTTTTAAATATTTATAATTTATAAATAAAAAGTTTGAAAAGAATAAAAGTTCGAATCCGCTTGGGCAAGAGAAGCGAAAATAGTGCTGTAAACTAAGTTTTTGCAGAATTTTTTTCAAAACTTGTGTTGACACAAATATTTGTAAATGTCTTTGGCGTATTATCACTAAAACTCAAAAAATTAAAGCAAAAACTACAGTAGTTATGAAGTAAAAAAGTCAGTCAGTTTTGAATCGTACTAATAAAAAAATAATAATGTAAAAAAAGTTTTCGTACGTTTTTTCAATTTTTTTTATATTATGATTGCTGAAGATTGTACCAATATTGTCAGCAAGTTTGGAATAATTACAGTAAGAACTACAGTAGTTATCAATTATAAAAGTCAGCCCGGTTCGCTTGGTTGCAAACGACAAAAATGGAGATGTAAAAAAAGTTATTGCGCTTTTTTAGAAATTTTAATTTGGGCCTTGATTTGTCAATACTTTAAGTTTATTTTTGTAAATTTTTAAAAAATTACAGTAAGAACTAAAGTAGCTATGAATTTAAAAATTCAGCCGGGTACAAATCCGCTTGAGTGCAAATGACAAAAATAAAGCTGTAAAGAAAGTTTTTGTAGGTTTTTTAAAACTTTTTTTTGAGTTTTGTATTTGGCAGGGTCTTCGCTGTTTTGTCACAAACCTTCAAAAAGTTACAGTGAGAACTACAGTAGTTATTAATAACAAAAGCCAGCCGGGTTCAAATCCGCTTGGTGGCAAAAATAGGGCTGTAAAGAACTATTATGCTATTGAGGATTAAATCCTTCATATTTTACATATCTTTTCATGACAAATTTAAAATTTCAGAATATTTTTTTCAATTTTTGTTGGTTTCCAACAACCGCCGCTTGCTGACAGCCGGTTCTGCGAATTTAACCATGCTTTTCATAAGCCCGTTGAGATGAAGAAAAAACCCGATCCCAATCAGCTAAACGCCGCTTATCACCAGATGCAAAAACATCTGCTGTTCCGATTTCCGTTAACGGATTCGAGTGATAAGAGAAAGTGCAGTTGAACAGTTTAAAGGATTCGGAACACTTTGATAGATCTACTATCACATGGCACTGGAATTGTCATAAGTTCTGACAATTGGCAAAACGATTGTGATGCAATTTTGTAAAAAAAACAAGAACTTTGTTTCCAAAACTCATTTTTCAAAAAACCGCAAGAACTTTCTTTCCAAAACTCATTTTTATAAAAACAGCAATAACTTTCTTTCCAAGACCCATTTTTTGAAAAACCACAAGAGCTCTCTTTACAGTGTATTTTACCAAGAAAAATTAAGTTTCTATCAGACTAAAACAACTATCAGAGTTTATAAAGTTGAACAATAACAAGGAGTTTAGATATAACTATAGATTTTGAGGTCAAAACATTTCATTCTAAATCGTCAGCATCAACAATTGCACCGCGTTCTTCACTCTCGGCACGAACTCCTCCTCTTTGAGCAACAATAGCAGCTTGGACTCTCTGAAAATTGAACCAAAATTAATGTTTTTGACTTCAAAATGTCATTATTCAAAAGTTTTAGGATTATATCATTATTAAAAAGTTTTAAAATATCCTGTCAGACATATAAAAATACCAAAAAGCCCGTTGAAACCATAAACGACACGACTTTTCTATATTGTAGTAGACCCCAAACCTACAGCTTGAGCATGAGGAAGTTCAGCGACGATTTTTTCAAAGTGTTCACTCATGGTTTGACGGAAAATGTTGATGAGATGATCAGGTTGTCCACACAACACCACAGCATTACACAAATGCTTGATTCCCTCCTCTTCCAGACCTTGACCCATCAGCTCTTCCCCAATTTGAATTTCTTGAAGGAAAAAGTTTTGAACTGCGGTTGGATCACTCATATTTGGCAAGTCCAATGGTTCATCCAAACGCTGTTTAGCTGCATTCTTTCTCTCTGAAATTTAGAAGAATTAAAATAGAGGAAAATGGGTATTATAAGAAAATAGACGTTGTAGTAGGTAAAAAATATTCTTTGGTGTCTTTAGCGTCCATGCTGGGAACATTTGTCGTATTTTACATCCAAAATTTGCCAAAAATCTAATAAAACACATAAAAATACAAGACTACCACAAAACGTTAGGGTTTAAGAGTTTTATCATGTTATACACAATAGATGCTCATAAGCAATATAAAAAGCATCCTACAAACTTGAATTAAAACAGAAACGCCTAAATTTTACAACCCATAAGTAATATAATGCCTTATCAAACGACCGAAAGCCAAAAAACACTTTTGGTAACGTTCTAAGACTTAAAAACAACAAGAACTATGTTAACCATACCTAAACTGCCAAAACCATAAAAATGAAAAAACTCACTCTGTCTGATAGCTTCTTTATAATCTGGAGCATGTGTTCTTCTGTAATCAAAGTACAAAGCATATCCTAGAAAAGCCGTGGCTCCAAGACCAGCTCCCCATAGCCACAAATTCGGCGCAGGCGATGTCATTCTTCTAAAATAATGTTTTGAAGCATTTGAACTGCGGATAAAGAATAAAATACGTAAGCATAATTATTTACAATATAATTTCGCTAAAAATTGTTTCTGTAACGATGAAAGTTCACGATAATATTGGCAAAAGCACGAAGAAGAAATTAGGAAAATAATTTTTCCAAAAACGTATAAAAGCGTCTTCAGCGAACTGTGAAGACATGTTATACGAAGGATAATGCGGTCGCGAATTGCGATAAAACCGCCAAAAAAATAAATGTGGCAAAATCTTGAAGTAAACGGGATTTTTGTTGAATAATACCTCATTTTACAATTTATACAATATACTGACATCATGAACTCGATGGAAAATAGTGTTTCTTCACAGGACATGGAAGGCGAATTTGAGGTAAGTTTTTGAACTTTTTCATTCGATTTTTAGGTTTAAAACGGTTTATTTTGAACAAAACTAAATGGTAAATGCAAAAATGTCCTATGAGACTAAAATTTGTAAAAGAAACTATGCTATGATCTAAATTTGTTTAAAACGTTTGTGGTTCTAATGAATAAAGACTTGTCGGTTTTTTGATATGCATCTCTTATTATTTTTAGCTACTAGACGTAAAGAAAGCGATGGGGAACAACCATGCCAGCTTGGCCACACCTTATATGACGTCCGAGGCTTCTAACTATCAGTTGAGAGCGATTGTCAAGTTAATTGAATCAAATTTGGCTCAAGAGAAGGGTATGTTTTGAAGCTTTGCTTGTGCTTCTTCGAATTTAGATTCAAAATGGACTTATTATTGTTTAGGGGTTTATGCATCTGCTACATAAAACATCTTCTTCTTAACGTATTTTGTTTTTGACACCTAAAAGTATTATTTTTTATAGGTTTACTTCAATCATATCGGTAAATCAACTTTAACTCATTGGTAGATCAACTTTTATGTCTAATTTTCAGATTCAAAATCACCAGAACAAATAAAGCATGAAATCGAAAACTTGACAATCAAATCAACAAAGGAAAGAATGATAAACGAGCAGTTAAAGGCCGAGATCCAAACTATTATACAACAAAATGGCAATGTGGTCAATCAGATCAAAAACGACCGACGAAAAATTGATGGACATTGTGAAAAAGTGAATGGAGAATTCTATGCCAAAGAATATAAACACAAATTGGCTGGAGCGTAAGTTCTGTCATTTTTAAAGTATTTTAAACAGGTTTTGCGACCTATGGGTTCAAAATGACATTCTTTGTTTTAAAGTAATGTTAACTCATATTTTTAAATGTTTTAACCGGATTTATACTTAATATTTCATTTTCAGTGAATTGGATGTTATGCTGGAACATGAAAAGTCGAAGAACGAAAACTTGAAAGCTAGGCAAGAGTTTTTACAGAAGAGATTAGAAGCGTTGAAGAAACAGAAGCCGGTTTGAGTTAACTATGTACATTATCAACTTCATTGTGAATTAAATATATAAAATAATCTAACATGAAAATTCTTTACGTTATATTTTAATCTATGCCTATGTAAGTGTTAGATCTTTACAAAATTATACTTTATTAACAGTTTCTTTACAAGAGCAGAAGAGTTGACTCAAAAAGGGCAGTGCGACACTTGACCTCAACTTTATTTCAGCTTTTCGACCAAAGTGCAATGAACCTGCATAGATACGCGTATTTGATGGTTCTTCGGTCTTTTTCTCCTTATAAATTGTTTGTTATTGTTTATCTTCACTTGTAAGCGTTTTGTTCAAAAAATACTCGAATTTTGTGCTAGCGATGGCTGAATGGAAAGAAGTTAGCGCGAATCGCTCCTTCAACGGAACACAGTACACTTTCAGCTTCAAAAGGTAGGATTTTTGTTTCTAAAGACAGGCTTTTATTTTCTGAAACTTGATATAAGTCTGTTCTTGCTTTTTTTTGATTTTTAGGATCTGTATGGAAAAGAATTGTCAAAAATTAAGTATTTTAGTAAGGAGCTGAAGACTGTTACTCCGATCGGCGTTTACGTTCCGGATAATGAAGCCAATGAGAAGCTGCCGGTTTTGTTCTACTTGTCAGGTCAGTTTACGCGCCAATTTTTAGCGCTAATCATGTGATAACCTTGATTTTGCACTGTTTGATTGATTATCACGGATAACATCGAATAATATGTATAACTTTAGGAAAAACATGGAATTTGCGCTAAATTTAGTGGGTTTTGAAGTGAAAATTAAAGTTTTATAAATTGGTTTCAGAATAAGTATGTTTAAAGCTTAAAACTTTAAAGTATGTTATATTGACGTATTATAATCAATATTATTTCAGGCCTAACCTGTACCGAGAAGAATTTTGTCGAAAAAGCAGGAACACAACGTTTGGCTTCTCAACATCGTGTTATCGTGGTAAATCCGGACACATCGCCTCGTGGATGTAACATTGAAGGTGATAAGGATAGCTATGATTTCGGAGAAGGTGCTGGTTTCTACCTGGACGCTACTGTTCCAAAATGGGCTGAAAACTACAGAATGTACAGTTATATCGTCAAGGAGTTGGTTCCGTTGATTTCTGAGAAATTTCCAGTCGATGAGAAGAAACGGTCGATCTTTGGACACAGTATGGGAGGTCATGGTATGTTAGGGTTTATATTTCTGAGTTTTTGATATTTGGGACAATTCAAAAAGGAATTCGTGTAGTATAACGAACTATGTCAAAGTTTATAAGCGATTTTTACCAAATATGTATTGTTAGCGTTTTATTAATGATAAAGCTGTAAAACCTTAATTTAGGAGCCCTAACCATTGGCTTGAAGAACCCTGATCTTTTTGTCTCAATCTCCGCTTTCTCTGCCATTTGTAACCCAACTCAAGGACCATGGGGACAAAAAGCTTTCAACGGATACCTAGGGGAAGATAAATCTCAATATAACCAGTACGATGCCACAGAATTGGCCAAATCTTACTCTGGACCCAAGAAGAATATACTGTTGGATCAAGGAACGGCCGATAACTTTTACAAACAACAACAACTCTTGCCTGAAAACTTGGTCGATGTTAAGAATGAAAAGTTGAACGTTGAACTGAGAAAACGCGATGGATATGATCATTCCTACTTTTATATTGCTTCATTCATTCAAGAACACTTCGAGTTCCACAAGGCTAACTGGAATTGATAGAAAATGGATTTTTATCAAAGTTAACTTGTTTTAGAAGTTAAATCTTTGACAACAATGCTAAATTTGCCACAAGTTCTATATATATTTGAAGTTCTGTTAGATTTTCTATAAAAGTTATATTACACTTGATAAAGGTTATGTTAAACTTGAATAAACTCGGTTGAATTGTAAAGTGATAAAAGAATAAAATATTCTATGTAAATCGGAATGTATTTTAAAGTAAAAAGGTTAAATTTATCCTTTGTTACGTTATTTATGTTGTTTTACATCAATTCTGTTTTTTGTTTTAATTTATGGCATGTTATCATAGGGTTCTCACTGTTTTTCTTTGCTAACGATACCTATAAAAAGGGCTTTTTGATAGTCTAAAAAAAAAGAAATGTTCTAAGACTTTAAACTAATGTTTTAAGACCTAAAATAACATGATATAGATAGGCAACTTTATATTTTAACCAGTTAATGTCATTTAACATTATATTTTTAGCTGTATTAGCTAAATTTGTCAATTTCAGCACAATATGACGTCTGTCGAAGAGTCAGTGGTGGCTTTAAAGCACAAATGCCAGAAGATAGTTGATGGGAAGAAGGAAGTAAGTTAGATTTTTGTTTTTATTGTTCAAATTTTAGATGGAAGAAGCGTACTCACTACTGGAAGGCCTGGAAGGTATTGCCATAACTGTCGACGTACTTACAGTAAGTTTCGAGGTGTGGACTTGCAGTAAGGATAGTTTTAGTAGCGGAAGGGGGATTTTAGGAAAGAGAGGGGTATTTTTGGCATTTTGGCAAGGGAATGTAAAAGAAACGTTTTTTGTTAGAGCTAAGGGCTTTTTTGGTGTTGTACTCTTGAAAAAGGTCTCTTACTCAAGTTCTAGCCATTTTTAAAGCTAAAAAACGATATTATTAGGCTTAGAAGACATTTAGTAACAATTATGTTAACCCAAAAGGCTAAAAGTTCAATATTCAACTTCCAGAAGACCAGAATCGGAATGACGGTGAACGATCTTCGTAAAAAGACCAAAGACGAAAAGCTAGCCAAGCGTGCCAAGGCTTTGATCAAGAAGTGGAAAGCCATGATCGATACGGGTGTCGTTAACAATAACAAAGACTCTAAGCCTGTCAATTATGCTCCAGCCAAGACCGAACTGCCACCAGCACCAAAGACAACAACACCGCATGTGTTCAAACGTACTGCCGCTGCTTCGAATGATACTGTAAGGTGTTATCGTGATTTTTGGAATTTTTGGGCAATCTTTTTGTTAATTTAGGTTAGAAAAAAGATGTTTTTAGACTTATAAGTTAATGTTTTAGGTAATAAAAGCCTGAAAATTCATGTTTTACATTAGAAAAATGATGTTTTACACTTATTTACTAAATAACTAGTGGGTATTATAGGTTTTTTTGATAATTTAGTCTTATAAATCTAGGAAATTCAATTTTTTCTAAAGTTTGATAAGAGATTTTGAAATTTCAACAGCGATTTGTTTGTTTTTGGGAGCGTTTTTGCATTAGAAAGGCCTATATAAATGTAGTGAAAAGAGTTTTGAAATAGTTTTGTTGAATTGTTTGAGAGTGACGAGGTATGGAAATTTTCAAATTGAAAATTTAGTTGGAACTCTTGGTCCTAATCTTACCTTTGTCCCTACCTCATTTACCCTTACTCTTACGTTTAACCTTACTCCCACTCCGAACTTTACCCTACCGATACCCTTACCCCTAGGTTAATATAAAAGGTTTAAACATACTATTTTTGCCATTTTCAGACACGCTGCCAGTCCATCACAGCCTTGGCCAAATCTCTACGAGCCGGCGAACTCCCGGACGGCACCCAGGACCCGGACGAGCTAGCCGAACGCATCGAAGAAGCCATCTTCCAACACACCGGCGGCGTCAACGACCGCTACCGTGCCAACATCCGCTCACGTATGTTCAATTTACGTGACAAAAAGAACCCCGCCCTCCGCGAGAACGTACTCACCGGCGCCGTACGCCCGGAACGATTTGCCAAAATGTCGGCCGAAGAGATGGCATCAGATGAGATGAAGAAGCAACGCGAATCCTTCCACAAAGAAGCCATCATGGAGCATCAAATGTCCGTCCAAGAAGGCACCCCATCAGACATGTTCCGTTGCGGTCGTTGTGGCAAAAACAACTGTACCTACAATCAAATGCAGACTCGTTCGGCTGACGAACCGATGACTACGTTCGTCTTCTGTCGAACCTGTGGTAATCGTTGGAAGTTCTGTTGATGTTGTGCGTGGTTTTGGCCGCTTCCAGAGTTGTTTTGGTTGGTTTTGGACGTTCTGAAGGCTGTTTTGGTTGATTTTTGGCCGTTTTTGAAGGCGGATTTGATGGATTTTGGTCCTTTTGAAGGCAGTTTTGGTTGAGTCTGGACCGTTTTAAAGATAGTTTGTGGTTGATTCTGGCCATTTCGAATGCTGTTTCGATTGATTTTGGCCATTTTGGAGGCTGTTTTAATTGATTCTGGAAGTTTTGAAGGCTGTGTTGATCGATTTTGACTGTTTTTGGTCGATTATTGGGCGTTTTGGTCGTTTTTTGACCATTTTTGTTGGTTTTTTTGGATTGAAGAGGTTGGATTCGGTCGATTTTTAATTTTTTTTGGAGTTTCAGTCGATTTTGAAGTTTTTTCAAATTTTGGTCCATTTTGATTTTTTTTGGGAATTTTGGTCGATTTTGAGTTTTTTAATTTATTGGTTGGTTTTGCAATAATTTAAACTTTTTAGTCCGTTTTTTCAAATTTAAAAAGTGTTTTGAGCATATGGATCAACTTTTAACAAATTTTTTGAAATTTCGGTCGATTTCAAATTTAGGTAACATTTCGATTTTTTTTCGATTTTTGAGAAAATTTGAACTTAATACCCTTTATTGATCAACCTTGATGTCCTCTAGAAAGTCTTGGCCCAACCTCACTTTTACCGTTGTTTTGTCGACCGTTTCCAACGGCGTTTGGTCTCATTTTGTTAATTTATTGCTGAATTACAACCTGCATTTTGTCAAAAGTGCAGACTCATTAATTATCACCCAAATTACCTTGGATTGTAAAAAAGTTTTTTATTCGAATAATTTAGTTTTTTAATAAACTTATTAATTACTTATTCAAATTTTTCGAAATTTTAAATTTTTTTAAAATTTTGAAAATTTTTTTTTAAATTTTAAAGTGAGCTTAAGGCTAATAAGTCTAAGCCTAATGTTGTTAAGCCTAAGCTGACTGTTTTGAGATTTATAGAAAATGTATTATATTTAAATTTTCCTCGAATTTGGCAACTTTGGCATTGTGTTGGAAGCAATTTTTTTGGGTGTTCTTAATAAGATAAGGTTAAGCCTAATCTGACCAAACCTATGCCTACTAATCCTTAGCCTACTAAGCCTAAGACTACCAATTCTAAGCCAAGCCTAAGCCTACTGAACGTAAGCCTAATACGCCTCAGCCTACTAAGCCTAAGCTTGCTAAGCCTATGCCTACTAAGCCTAAGCTTACTAAGCCTAAGCCTACTAAGCCTATGCCTACTAAGCCTATGCCTACTAAGCCTAAGCCTACTAAACCTAAGCCTACTAAGCCAAAGCCTAATCAGCCCAATATTTTAAATTTTCAAAATTTATTCGCCAACACACAAATTTACATGCCACAAGTCCACACCCTCGGCACAATCGTATCCAATACCACACTACTAAAGTACGGCTCACACTGTTGCCGAGCGTACCATTCGGACGCATAGCACGAGACGAACATTCCAGTACCAATCAGCAAGTTGAACCACATCATCAGATTCCAAATACTGGCCGAACTGATGAAGCGAGAGATGAGGAAGAAGATGCCACCACAGACAAAATACAAGTTGAACATGATTGGGTAGAACAAACGTAGCGAGACGCCGAACCAGTACTCGTGGAACGCGGCCGAAAGGAAGAAAACCGTCATTTGAGCCACTTTTCGGCCGGTTTTCGAGTTGCCGGTGAGCTGAAATTGAGGGTTTTTTTAAATTTTTTAAGTGGTGTTGGGCTTAAAATCAAGTTTTTGTTACCTAAAATGCTGAAATATATCATCTTTAAGATTGAAATTAATAAAAAATAGGCTTTTTGTTACCTAAAATTTTCAAAATTTTAATTTTTGTTACTTATAAAAGTAAAAATTTGAGTTTTTGTTACCTAAAATAATAAAAAATAAAATTTTTGTTACCTAAATAAAACGCTAAAAATAAAACTTTTGTTACATAAAATAATGAAAAATTTGAATTTTTCTTACTTAAGCGAAAAAATACTATTTTTGTTACCTAAAATGATAAAAAATACATTTTTTGTCACCTAAAATGTTAAAAAACACAATTCTTGTTACCTAAAATTAAAAAAAATTATTTTTGTTACCTAAAATACAAAAAAATAGTGCCTTTCTCGAACTTACTATTGAAAGATCCCTGTAAACATAAGCATAAAGCCAGTCATGAACAGTCAGATTCCAATCACGATAGTATTCGGCCATGTTCCGCGAGTTCCACCAGTTCTAAAAAGCCTTGTTGAGTAAGAAAAATTTTATAATTTTAAGCCTAATTGTAAGTCTTCTAGGCTTAATCATACTAAGCCTGAACCAAAACGTCAGAATGCTAAGCCTAAGCCTACTAAGCTTAAATCTACTAAACCTAAGCCTACTAAGCCTAAGCCTACTAAGCCTAAGCCTAAGCCTACTAAGCCTAAGCCTACTAAGCCTAAGCCTACTAAGCCTAAGCCTACTAAGCCTAAGCCTACTAAGCATAAACCTACTAAGCCTACGCTTACTAAGCGTAAGCCTACTAAGCCTAAGCCTACTAAGCCTAATCCTACTAAGCCTAAGCCTACTAAGCCTAAGCCTATTAAGCCTAAGCCTACTAAGCCTAAGCCTACTAAGCCTAATCCTACTAAGCCTAAGCCTACTAAGCCTAAGCCTATTAACTTGAGTCCAAGTCTACCAAATCTAAGCATAAGCCTACTAATACTAAACTCACATCATAAAACTGTCGATCAGCAAAGCGCAAAGCTTCGGCGAACATGTTTTGCCACGAATGTAGTAGGCCATAGAACAACATCATCAAGCATACTCCACCAGGAATGACAGATGGGAAAATGTGGTAGACTAGCTCAGGAATCGACTGTTTCTTATAGTCAACATCAATGAAACGAGGTCGGATAAAGTTGATGAACATTAGGTTCACAACATAGATCGATAAGAGACAGTGGGCGAAGATACGAGCTACACGGTTCCAGTTTACTGAATCTGTTCTGAAAAGACATGATTTCGACTGGAAAGAAAGTTATTGCCATATCAAGCTCTGTAAAGAAAGTTATTGCCATTTTAAGCCCTGTAAAGAAATTTATTGCCATTTTAAGCTTTGTAAAGAAAGTTATTGCCATATCAAACTCTGTAAAGAAAGTTATTGCCATATCAAGCTCTGTAAAGAAAGTTTTTGCCATTTTCTGTTTCGTAAAGAAAGTTCTTGCCATTTTCTGTTTTGTAAAGAAAGTTATTGCCGTTTTTACCTTGGATATTGATCTCTGTAGATGAAAGTCGGAGCGAAAGTGAAGAAAACATATTGTTGTAGAGTTGGGAATTGCATATTATCCCTTTGACTGAAGGCTTCATTGATTGACAATCCTTTTTCAGCTTGTTCTTTCTTGTATTTTATCAATTTGGCCAGGTTTTCTCTCATAAATGAGTGAACTTTCATTACTAGACGGGTCTAAAATTGATTTAAAAAAGACTTTTACTAGTGTTTTTAAGGGCAGGGTATATTTTTCTTGGATTTATGAAAAGATTTTATAAAGGCAACGTAAATTATTACAATAGAAACTATAGGATCAAGTGTTAAAGAGCAAGGTGAACTTTTTTTTACGGATATGGTAAAAGTTTTTTTAGGCGTATCAAAAAAGAGAAGGAGGGGGGGGGGATTGTAATATTGTTTAGGGTATGGTGAATTAGTGAATGTATTAAGCAGGGTAAAAACGGTTTTTAATCGGCTCAAGTGTTAAAGGGTAGGATATTCTTTACGGGCATGGTAAAATTTTTTAGGCGTAACAAGGGGGTAGGATTGTAAATTGGTTAAGGGCATGGTAAGTGTTTTGGCCACGGTAAAGCTGGTTTCAAAGGATAAAGTCAAATGTTAAACGACAGGATGAATTTTTACGGGCAGGGTAAATTTTTTGAAGAGGCAGGGTAAGATATTGAAAGTCAAGGTAAAATTTCTTTGAAGGCCGATAATAAAAAAAGAGCGTTTTAGGTTGGGTAAGGTATGGTAAAGGTGTTTTGAGCAGGGTAAGTTCAAGGCTTGAACAGGACAGGATTGGGGTAAATTTTGAAAAAAAGACAGTTGGGTAAGGCAGGGTAAATGATAAACAAAAACAAAATTTGGGGTAGGATAGATTAAAGGGGGCGTAGGGTAGTATAAAGCAGGGCAAGGTTGGGTATGGTAGGGTAGGGTAGGGTGGGTAGGATAGGGTAGGGCAAGATAAAAAAACTTACATTTTCGCAAGTGATAATGAAAGAACAAGCACAGTTGAGTTCGTATTTGAAGAGTAAAACCAATGGAAAGTAGAATAATGAGATCAGATAGCCAAAGTACAAGCCCAAGAATAATTTTTGATTTGAAAATGTCACAGATTTAGCTGGAATCAAGGTCCATAACTTTAGACCATTGTAGCCAAAAAAGATAGTGGATACGTACATACAGGACCATATGAACATGGTTAGGAAGAACTGGGAAAAGTTCCATTGGATCAGCCAGAAATGGTTTAGAGGGCTGAAATAACAGTGTTAGGCTACAGTTAGAAGGCTTGAGCTTCGTAGTTAAGGCTGAGGCCCGGTCTAAAACTCAAACTAGAGCTCAAGTTAGGGCCGAGGCTAGGCCGGAAATTAGAGTACGATTTAGGCTAGATTTTGTGTTACAGCTAGGGCAATGAAAAGGCTGAGGTAATGCAAGTCATGGAAAGGCACGGCAGGGCAAACCAGATAAAAGGCTAGGGCTCTGGTGTGGGCTAGAGATGTGGGCTAGGGCTCTGGGCTAGGGCTTTAGGTTAGGGTTCTGGGCTAGGGCTGGAGCTACGGCTCTAAGCTATGGCTAAGCTAAGACTTAGAGCTAGGGCTTGGAGTGAGAAACGATCTGGGCCTGACCCACTTTTGAGGCTCAGCTTAGGCCTGGGGCCCAAGGTTAAGGCCCGACCTAAATTTAACTCAAGACCAGTCCGTTTCTCAACTCGAGCTATGGCTCTGGGCTAAGGCTAGGCTTATAGCTATTTGATGCCTAAATGTATAAAAAAATAATTCAAAATGACTTACTTCTGATGATTGATCAAGTCGAAGGCTGCTGTTCCAAACCCACATAAAATAAACCAAGCCGAGAAGAAGTTGAATAACAGTCCAGCTGTGCCATCCCAGTGTTGACTATAATCTCAAAATTATTTTTAAAAGCGTCTAATATTTAAAATTAATCAAAATTCAAAATTTTAAACTTACGTGATCAAACTTTCCCTCGGGATAAAAACTTTTTCTTTGAAGACAACGGCCGGTCGTTTGGCTTTCTCTTCTTGATTTGACTTCTGGTTATCTATTTGATTTACTAGTCCAGTCAGTCGATTTGTAATTGCATTTTCTTGAACTTCCTCTTGAGGAGAGGATTGAAGCAGAGCTCCCATAGCTGAAATGGTGCTAATTAATGATAAAAAAATTCAATACTAAGTCAAAATGGAGTAAGGCAACACAATAGTAAGGCTAAGAGTAAAGCTACAGTAGAGCAATGGTAAAGTCACGACAGGGTTAGATTATGACAAGAATCGCGCAAGAGAAGGGCAGAGATAAGACGAAGGTAGCACTAAGGCTTAAAAAGGATAAAGCAATGGTAGGACTTGAGCAAGGATCAGGTAAAGCATAAATAGGGTTAAAGTAAGAAAACAGTATAACAATGGTAGAGCTGTAGTTGGGGAAGGTTAGGGTGAGGATAAGGCAAGTGTAGGATAAGGGTAGTGTTAGGGCAGAGCTTACCCCCTCCCCTCCCCATTTCCTTGTGAAAACACGCTACCCTTTCCTTTTTATCACTGTGCCCAGAGTAGGGTGGGTAGTTTTGGTGTGAGGGCGGGGGTCCAAAAAAATCCACTGAGGGGGGGGACGACGTTCAACCTTTTTTTTAAAATTTTTTTCTGCGCCCGGCTTTGACTGTGCCTATAAATTAATAAATATATGAAAAATTAATAATTTTTAAAAAAAATTTTTTGTTTGTTACCTAATTTTAATCATTTTATAAAATAAAACCCGATTTCCTTGACCCTCCCCTTCTTTTTTTTAAAGTTTATGCAAATTTTATAAAACCACCTTATCCAAACTTTTACTCCAACCCAGAAATCACCCCACGCCTCCGTACATTTCCAAAAATGGAAATCCCCTTAAGCTTTCGGAGAGATCGCAACCCTCTGGAATGCCGTGGATTTCGATCCGAAACAAGGTCAGACGAGAAAAAGAAAGAATCGAGAAAGCGAGGGAACGTGGAAAACCACGAAACGCCGTTGGGTGTAAAGTCAAAACAGGAAACATAACCACGACTATATACACTTACCGTTCTGGAAGCTGCGCAGCGTTCCGTGATTTGCTCAGTGTTCTGTTAGCTGGTCACCGCTCCAGATTATGAGCTTACTGTTCCGTAATGGGCTCATCGTTCCGAAATATAAGGTCATTGTTCTACAGTTTGTTTTATCCTCCTACTATTACCCCACCGTTCCAAAATTTGCTTACCGTTCTATCAAAAAACAAGCTAGCTTGCCGTGCCAAATTATGTGCTTATCGTTCCATAATTTGCTCACCGTTCCAAAATATGAACCCATCTTCTTGAAGGCTGCTTTGCCGTTCTAATAATAGCTCACCGTTCCATGATTTGCTTGCCATTCTATCAGAAAAATTCATCGTTCCGGTTGCATCCAAGCGGATTCGAAACCGACTGACTTTTTCAATTTATAACTACTGTAGTTCTTACCGTAACTTTTTCAAACTTGGTAAGAATATAGCCAAGACCTTTAGAAAGCATAACGTAGCAAAACAATTTAGAAAAAAACATGCAAAAACTATCTTTACAGCTCAATTTTTGTCGTTTGCACCCAATCAGATTCGGACTCGATCGACATTTTCAATTTATAACTACTGTAGTTCTCACTGTAATTTTATCAAACTTTGTACAAGTGTAGCCACAATCCTTGACAATCATAATTTAAAAAGAAAAATCAAAGAAAACATGCAAAAACTTTCTTTACAGCTTCATTTTTGTCATTTGCATCCAAGCAGAATCGAACACGGCTGACTTTTTCAATTTATAACTACTGTAGTTCCTACTGTAATTTTTTAAAATTTTGTACAATTATAGCCATAAACTTGAAAATCGTAATGTAAAAAATAAAAAGAAAAAAACACATGCAAAAACTTTATTTACAGCTTCATTTTTGTCATTTGCATCCAAGCAGAGTCGAACACGGCTGACTTTTTCAACTTATAACTACTGTAATTCTTACTGTAATTTTATAAAAAATGTCACTTCTTTTCGAACTTGACAATTTCAATTTTTATAAAATCAATTTTTAAATAAAAAAACTTTTTTTCTCAAACATTTTTGTGAGAAAACTCTTTGATTATGCTTAACAACATAAATTCCCAACCAATACATAAATACATTACCACAAATATTATAAAAATCATATTAAACACCATCAAAATTGAAGTTTTTACAATACTTTTGAGTTTTTAACCGAATTTAAGGCTTACACTTCGTAGTTTTAGGCTCAGCTGTAGGCTTAAGCTAGTGAACGCCAGCTTATGCATAGTAAATATATAATTAGTAGGCTTAGACTTCGTAGACTTAAGCTTAGTAAGCTTTGTCTTAGTAGGCTTAGTCTTAGTAGGCAAAGGCTTAGTAGGCGTGGGCTTAGTAGCCGTAGGCTGCTAGATTTCAGCTTATTGAACTAACCATTTGTAGATGAAGTCACACCTGATCATATTAACCATAATAACCCAGAGTATCCATTTATATTCCTGTGAAGACCAAGCCGGATGTCCTCCTTTACAAACAGCCTGCCATGATCAAAAAAGCAATACAACTACATTCTGTTGTCCAATCGAAAATGGCTTTTGTTGCAAAGACATGATCTATTGTTGTCCTTCAGGTAAGATATCACCATAGTTGTCATCATTTTGCTGATTACTAAAATATTAAGCTTTAACGTGTCTTAAAATTGTCGTAAATATTACTTTTCAGGGTTCATTTGTCCATCACCGGATAGTAAATATCGTTACTGCTATTTGGATTTGGGTTTATATGGACCTTTGCGGCCAGTAACCTAGTTAAAATACTCCGAAATATACAATGGAGAGGCTCACAACGTCAGCTTTAATCAGCTTTTACCACTACAACCATATAATTACCAAAAAATGCATTAATTTTCGAATAAACACTGATTTCGTTCATATTGTAATAGGTTCGACCACTTCGTTTGAAGAGAACTTGGCCAGAAATTTTTGTATAAACATGAAAATTTGGGAATATATACAACATTTAATGTTCTACAAGTTGTATTTTCCAAAATGTCCAAAAAGTCTCATTATTCAGTTTTTGACCTGCGCCCACATTGCCAATTTGCGCCAAAAACATCCTGCAGGCCGCGCGCCTTTTTTATACGCAGACCTCGAAAAAAATTTTGGGGACGATTTTCCAAACTCAACGACGTCCTCAAACGTTTGTGAATTTATTTTAACCTTGAGTAACTAACAAAATGCAGCCCAGCAATGGTGGAGATCTCATGAACTTTCTTCTGCATCCATCTCAATCTAAAGCTTGGCGAACGTCTGATTTCCAGCAACTCAACAACATGAATGAACCTTGGAACAGTCGTTTACATCGTCCTAATGTCAGAAATACTTTCGCACATTCAGCATGTCCTCGACGACAGGAAAAATCAAAGGATTATGGGCGTCATGAGTAAGTTTTTTCTTTTGCATTGTTGTTTGGTTTTTAGGTAACAAATCGAGGATGTTGAGGTTGAACAATGTCGCAAAATATGTATATTTTCTCAAAATATTATTTACATGTTAATTTTTCAAGAAAAATGGGTAAAAACTCTGTTACGAAGGTATTACTCATGACCTCATGTTATCATGGATAATATGTTTTTTAACCCAATTATTTTTAGACCAGCGCAACGCTTATATGCGACAGTTTATCCAGGACATCAACGAGTGCTAATTTATTCTAAAACTACGTCTCGACGGGCTGTTGGTCCACTTTCTCGGTCTTTTTTTCATGTTAACCATGGAATGACGAAAACGTATCAATATCCGTTGGAAAAGATGGAGAGATTTGACGTAAGTGCTTTTAAAATTTTCTTTGAAATTTTTTAGTTAGTATTTATCAGTTCTTTGTTGTTTTAGGCTTCTTTGCACGACGTAGGAAACGAAAACATCAAGCCAAACTTCAATTTATCGGGAGAAAACCAGGAGAACATGTGTGAAAGTGAATATTCTGTAAGTTTTTGCGCATTTTTAGGTCGAATAGTTTGCGTAATAGTTGAAATGGTGTCTCAGGATTACATTATAGGTAAAATTAAGCTTTTAGATTGAAAATGGATGTTCGAAATCGAGCAAACCGTTATGTTATAGTAGGCTTTTTTAACAACATTTGATTTTATTTTAAAATGTGATATTTTTAGCTGGTTTAAAAGGTCGTAAAGTTAAGGGGAGATAGTATAAGTGTTAACAATTTTTAATTTGATTCAATTTACCTTTTTTTATTTCAGTGTGCACCTCCAAACAAGTTCTTGACATCGGATTCCATTGCGAGACCATTATCATCAAACCTGGCGGTTTCTGAACCAACATCAGAAGACTTTTCAGAATCGACAAAGGAGACTTCATATGAAGAAGATGAGAAAATGGCATATGAAGACGACAAAACAAGTTTGGACAAAGATTTAAACGAAGGCCTTCGCGAAGGTAATGATCATCATGAAATGGAGATGGAAGTTAATGATGAAAAACGCTTTCAAACGAAAATTTCTGAAGAAGAATGTCAACCTCAAATGTTTCCCAACCCACACGATACTCAAGGGTTGGTAGACTTTTTGTTCAATACTCAGTGTAATATCACCAGGTCAAGAACGAAGAAGTATGAAGTTTGTTTGTCGACGAAGAAGACGGTCACGCAGATGAGGTTGGAACAAAAATGGAGACATTTGATTCTGGAAGATAATGGAATGTTCGGAGGGCTCAGATCATGTCAACTGCCAATCGGGGAATGTATGGTTTGTGATGAAGTGTTGGTGGATCAGATCTACTACAAACGCCTTTTGAATGTAAGTTTTTTGTGTAAAATACGGTCGTCATTCTGTTGTCTTTAATATGTAAGCCTCACATTGGCGTTGAGGATTGAAAAAATAGCAAAAACTTTCTTTACAGCCTAATTTTTCTCACGTGCACCCAAGCGGATTCGAACCCGACTTTTTGCTTCATAATTATTGTATTTCTTACAGTTATTTCTTAAAAATTTATGAAAACATAGCTAAAACAATGGTAGTTCTGATGTAATTTTTTTGAAAACCGCAAGAACTTTCTTTACAGCTTGATTTTTGTTACTATCACCCAAGCGGACTCGAACCCGGCCGACTTTTTGCTTTATAACTCGTGTAGTTCTTACTGTAATTTCTTGAAAATTTAATGAAAACATAGGTAATACAATAGTAGCTATGATGTAATTTTAATTTTCTAAAAGCTTGCAATAACTTTCTTTACAGCTTGGTTTTTTGTCACTGTCACCTCAGCGGATTCGAACCCGACAGGCTTTTGCTTTATAACTACTGTATTTCTTACTGTGATTTTTTGAAAATTTACCAAGCCTTAGCTAAAACAAAGGTAGTACTGATGTGGTTTCAATTTGAAAAAAAACGCAAGAATTTTCTTTACAGCTTGATTTTTGTTACTAAAATCTTAACGAATGCGACCCCAGCCGACTTTTAGCTTTATAACTACTGTAGTTCTTACTGTAATTCTTTGAAAATTTGTGAAAACATAGATAAAATAATGGTAGTTATGACGTAATTTTAATTTTTTTAAAAATTGCAAGAACTTTTTTTACAGCTTGATTTTTGTCTTAAGCATTCAAGCGGACTCGAACCCGGCCGATCTTTTTGCTTTATAACTACTGTATTTCTTATTGTAATTTTGCGAAAGTTGATCGTTATGTAGTTAAAACAATGACAAAGACTTGTTATAATTAAAAGTTTTTAAATAGCCCCAAGAACTTTCTTTACAACACTTTTTTTGTCAAATTCACCTTAAAATTTACACAAAAGTATAGGCATTGAACAAAAATTTTAATTCCGAATACCTTTTCCAAACCTGATTTCTGCCATTTTAGGAACAAAATGCCGAAAAATAGAGTTTTACATTCCCTCAAAAACTGATTTCAGAACTACTACGTGGAGAAGATTTGCTTCGACTTTGCCAAGTACCAAACGTGCCGTTGGGGAGACTATTGTAAATACTCGCACGATTTGTCACACTGGATGTAACTGTTCTATTTTGTACTTTCTCACTCTTTCTTGGTGTTCAACATCAATAAATTATTTCATTGACTGTGGTTTCGAGTATTTGTTTGATTATATTGTGATAACGGGTTGTTCAAGTAATTTTGAGCTACTAGCTCTACAAATTTGCTTGGTGAGGTGGCTCACAATTTTTTGAGCAAACTAATATGTAGTAAAGGCTATGTTCCTGATGTTTTACCGTATATTCTGTTACGTTTTTATTGTTTATTAGAGTGTTTTTAAACCTAACATATAGCTTATAGGTATCAGTTTATTGCTTGTTTTAGTCAAGGAAAGGATTTCATGGTAACGATGACGTTCTGGCCTTCTTTCACGCAATCGTCTGTATCTGGTGAGCAACTAAAATAAGTTTTATTTTTTAAATATTTTTCTTGGTCAAAAAGTAGGTAGAAAGCTATATATAAGTCAAAAAGTTTGGGGAAAACTATTTTTTGCCTTACCTAAACGAAAACGGGCAGCACTTGCTTTTGCCTTCACAACAAACTCCATCGCTGAATGGACAACAGAATTCTTCGTTTGTCTTGGAGTTTTGGCAGCTTAAAAGTCATGGTTAATATCGATTTTTGGCAAAATTTATCGTCTTTACTTCAAAAATCTAATACCTATTTTTAAACAAAATCTTACGACATTTCGTTTCCAGAGCAGTTGATATTGTTCTTCTTTAAAGTTTTTGAGTTTTTGGCTTCTCTAAACGCGGCAAAGCCTTTGAACCATGGAAGTTGATCGAATTCCTGAAAGAAAAGGGCTACTCATCGTATAACTTGTAGTGCGCAACCTGCACGGTACAAATTTTATTTTTTTTTTGTAAAAAATGGCAAAAACGTTCTTTACAAATCAATAAATTGCAAAAACTTTCTTTACGAAACAAAAAATGGCAAAAATTTTCTTTAAAAATCGAAAAATGGCAAGAACTTTCTTTACAAATCGAAATATGACAAAAACTTTCTTTACAAAGCAAAAAACTGCAAAAAATTTCTTTACGGGTTAAAAAATTTTTAAATTTTAAAAATTTTGAGTATTTTTTTTACCGTTAAACACCGTTGTTCTTGAACATCACAGGTCGTTTTGTGTGGACAACAGTGTTTTCCATCAGGACAGCAAACGGCATTAGGTAAGGGGCAACATCCAGGCAGTTCACCCTTAGCTGCACAACATGTCGTACCAATAGGGCATTGGTACGAGGGATTATCGCACGCTGAATCCTCTAGTTTGGCTGGGATCTTCTTTAAAAGTGGGTGAGATACAAAGCCAAAAGTGCATTTGGCTTCTTTTGTGTCACATACCATGCCTAAAAACTATGGTTTTATACGGTTATACCTAACCCGACCGTTACATTTACCCTGCCCTTAAATTTACACTTTCCTTACCTTTTTCCTGCTCTTAGCTTTACCCTGGCTTTAATTATACCCTGCCCTTAGATTTACCCTGTCCTTACTTTTACCCTGCCCTTAGATTTACCCTGTCCTTAGATTTGCCCTGCTCTTACTTTTACCCTGTCCTTGCCTCTACCCTGCCCTTAGCTTTATTTTGCCCTCACTTTTACTCTGCCCTTAGCTTTACCCTGCCCTTAGCTTTACCCTGCCCTTAGCTTTATTTTGCCCTCACTTTTACTCTGCCCTTAGCTTTACCCTGCCCTTAGCTTTACCCTGCCCTTAGCTTTATTTTGCCCTCACTTTTACTCTGCCCTTACCTTCATTGTGCTCTTACCTGTACCCTTCCCTTACCTTTACCCTACCCCGACACTTACCCTGCCCTTAGCTTTACTCTGGCATTATTACTTTCATTCTGGCTTTACTACCCCTACCGTTCTTATACAGGACTTCTACCGACTTTTATCTTTATCCTACTGTATTCTACACTGTTACTCTCACCCCAGCCTCAATAAATTGTCTTACACTTACCAGAAGGACAACAATGTAGTTTGTCCTCACAGCAAACAGCATCAGGTACGGGACAACATCCGAACGCTCCTTCACCCAAATCACAGCACGTCGTTTCGGATGGACATACCGATTTACCGTCACTACATTTCACATCATCTTTTGGTGATTTCACGAAATTTTGAAATTTCGAACTCGAAACGAAATTTAAAAATAACAGAAATAATGTTGTTTTAAGCATTTTTAAGCAAATTCAAAGTCTCGAAAGACGAAAAAGGTTGTTTTCCAAGGGTCAAATCTTATCTTTTGTATCTGATGATAACGAAACGGCCACTCTCTTCTCGTCTTTCGTCTGAGTTTGGAATTGAAGTTTGATGTTAAAACAATATTGAGTTAAAGATAAACGTGACTAAAGGTCAAAACAATAATTTATGATGTTTGTAAAGATAGTTGTTACCATTTATTTTTTGATTTTTAAAGGAAGTTGTTGCCATTTTATGGTTTGTAAAGGAAGTTCTTGCCATTTTCCGATTTGTATAGAAAGTTGTTGCCATCTTTTGGTTTGTAAAGAAAGTTCTTGCCATTTTGTGCGTTGTAAAGAAAGTTCTTGCCATTTTTTGATTTGTAAAGAAAGTTCTTGCTATTTTTTGACTTGAAAGAAAGTTGTTGCAGTTTTTTGACCTTTAATGAAATTTATTGTTATTTCATAAAGACAACATTTACTTTGTGCAGCCTGCGGGTGACAAGTTATACGATAAGTATTCAAGCTTGCCGGTTTTAGTGCTGTAATGAAAGTTCTTGCCACTTTATGACGTGCAAACAAAATTATTATTATTTTTTTTGGTTTGGAAAGAAAGTTCTTGCTATTTTCGATTTGTAAAGAAAATTATTGCGATTCCTATTTCATAGAAACAAAATACACTTTGTGTAGCCTGCGAGTGACAAGATATATGATGAGTTTTGAAGGTTGTTGTTTTTAATGCTGTAAAGAAAGTTTTTGTTTTATTGTGAAAGAAAATTATTGCTATTTTAAGCTGTGTAAAGAAAGTTCTTGCTATTCTTTTCAATATTTTGCTTTTAAATATATTTATTTCGAAAAAAAGAAGACTATAATACAAAATGATAGTAAAGTAACGAGTATATAATCTAATATAGTATAAAAAAATGGCAGTGGTAGAAGATGCTAAAGTACAACAGATATAGGGTTATAAAATTGAGAAAAAAAGTTTATTTTTAAATAAACAATGGATTTTAAATCAGAAATATTTTTTTAAAAATCAAATTAAAAAAAAATTTTAATTTTGAAAACTTAAAAAGGACATTTTCATTCAAATGGTGCCACATCCCTAGCCCAATCCTGCAATTTCCTGGTGTCCGATGGGTCTTTTTCTGTCACTTTGTTATTCAAATAGTCAATGGCTTTGCTCTTGCCTCCTTCCTCGAAAGCGTAGAAGACGGCCGGACCAGTGTAGCCGGCGGCAAGCTCTTTGACAGCGGGCTTGAACTTGTCCGGTCCTTGATATTTGTCGTTGCCTTTGCGCACGTAATACGAAAATCGACCAATGTAGAGCGAGAATTCACCATTCGACACACCGTCGGATGAAAATTCGCCTGGAAAGAAAGTTTTTGCAAAAAGTTCGAGGTGAGAAATTTTGGCAAAAGTTTAAGGCTGTAAAGAAAGTTCTTGCTTAAGTTTGAAAAATATAAATCTATTACAACACTGGCAATGTAATTTTGTTAAATTTTCAAAAAATTACAATAAGAACTACAGTAGTTAATCTAAAAGATCAGCAGGGTTCGAATCCGCTTGGCTGCAAGAGACAAAAATTGAGATTTAAAGAAAGTTCTTGCTGAGTTTTTGAAAATTTTTAGTTTTTTATGATTTACTTTTAGTTCCTCTATGCCAACATTTCAAAAGTTACAGTAAGAACTACAGTAGTTATGAATCTAAAAAGTCATTTTGGTTCGAATCCGTATGCGTTCATGGGACAAAAATAAGGGTGTAAAGGCAGTTTTTGCCAGTCTTGTAAAATTTGAGGAATATGAAAAGATTAACAATAGTATACATTATATTATGACACAGTTTCATAAAATTACAGTAAGAACTGTAGTAGTTATGAATAAAAATGTCAGCCGGGTTTGAATCCGCTTGGGTGCAAGAGAAAAAAAATGACTGTAAAGAAAGTTTTTGCGTTTTTTAAGATTTTTGTAACACGCATTAATTTAGTATATTAGTAGCTATGTTGCCGCTAAATTTTGAGAAGTTACAGTATGACGTACAGTAGTTATCATAAAAAATATGAGGAAGCCTAAATTTGTTGAAAATGAAAATCATGAAAAATAAATAAAAAGTTGGGTTTGTAAACAAAGTTTTTGCGTTTTTTAAGTCAAAATCTACTGCTACTGCTATAAGATAGCAATAGTCAATGATCAACCATCTACTACAATATAATAACCAATCTACTATTAGGTTGTCCAAATGACTCTGTGTCTCCTGGCCCCGAAAATTTGCTTTGAGATGGGGCACATAATTATTTGAACAAACAAATAGACGCTAATAAACAATATACTACGATTTAGTAAACAATCTACTATATAATGATCAATCAAGTACAAAATAATAAACAACCTACTACAATATACTAATCAACCTACCACAATATAATACTACAACAAAATCGAAAATTTACTTACCAGCACTACAGTAGCCAACCGTTAGCAATACAATAAGACATTTCGAAACCACCACGCAAACGTTCATGTTTCAAGAACTGAGAACGGTGGAGGGGAACAGAACGCTGTTCCTTTAGCGCGCAAAAAAGAGCCACCTGACGGTTATTGTAAAAAAGGAAAGGAGTAACCTTAAGAAGACATTTGATCTTCACAACTCCAAACCAGTTTCTTCTTGTATTATAATTGACGCAACGTTGCGTAACCCACCCCGGTATTGTTGTAGTAGGTAAGAGTTTAAAGAAGCATACAAAAAAAATTTTTTTGGCTTGAACATTGAAAAAAATACTTTACTGTGTTATTGCGATTCTATCTCTTATCTGTACATCTAATTTTTGCCCTAAACCAAGGCTGAAGATTAGGCTTAGGCATACGCATAAGCTTAAATTGAGATCTAGGTGTAGGCTTGGATTAGGGCTAAAGCTTAGGCTCAGGCTTAGGATTACGTTTAGGTTAGAGTTAAGGCTTAGGTTAGGGCTTAGGTTTAGGCATAGGCTTAGTCTTAGGTTTAGGCTTAGGCTTGGGCTTAGGCCTGGGCTTAATCTAAGACTTAGGCTAGGGTTAGGCTTGGGCTAAGGCGAAGTTACAGGCTTAAGCGTCTTCTTAGGCTTAGGATTAGGCTCAAGCTCAGGTTCAAACGTAGGTCTAGGCAGCAAAACTTAGCTTTAGCTGTAACCTCAGCCTTTGTACGATGCTTAAGCTTCATTTTAGGTCTAGGTCCAGCGTTAGCTGTCAAATTGTCTTAAGGCTTGGGTTTAAACAGAGGCTTAGGTTTAGGCTTAGCTTCAATCGTAGCACTAGTCTTTCCCCGATGTAGGAAAACCCCCAGCCTTAGTTTTAACTATAGCAGTAGCTTCAGCTTTATACAAATAAAAGTAAATTGTGCTGTGTTACCTAATATCTATGATATATGAAGGTAGCCTTAGAGAAATTGCAAAAACCCGAGTTACGCAACTTTTCCTTATGTAATTTTATGGTTATATGTAACACTTGCCTCGGTGTAAAACGGCCCAAAAAATTACTGCGAGTACGGCAGTTTTCCTTTTTTTCTTCGGTTACTATCATAATATCATCTATTGCCTGCAAAGTTTTTTTCGAGTAGGCATGACTTATGCATAGGCCTAGTTCAAGCCCTTACCCTACTTTACATTACCCTACCTTACTCCACCCTACCTTACCCTACCCTACCCTACCCTACCCTACCCTACCCTACCCTACCCTACCCTACCCTACCCTACTCTACTTTACCCTACCCCAGCCCTAAGTCTAGCCAATACTTTTTTCTTGACCCTAACCCTAGCCAACACTAAAACTTCCACCCTGGCCTAATTTTAACCCTACCTCTACTCTGGTCCAAAAATAGATAAAAATTTTTACGGTTTTTTTGAAAATGTCTGTCTTTCTCGATTTTATGGCTTTATTTTACGTTTCGTACCAGTAAAAGTTTGTCCTTTGTTTGTAGCAGCAAATTGAAAGAATTTGGAGCGCTGTAAAGTAAGAAACGGTTTTTGTTACACTACTCCGTGAAAGTAAATGAAACCTTTTTGAAAACAGTTTTGAACCAAAGATAACGTCATGTACTTGGTGTTTACTCTGTAAAAGTATAATAAAAAATTTTGTGAGGAAATGAGTTTGGTTCAAAATGGCATTCTTGAAGAATTTTTGATTTTTTAAATTTTAAATTAAAAAAATTAAAAAAAATTTTTTTAAGTTTATTGAGTAAAAATTATTAAAATTTCTGAAATTATGAATTTGTTACAAAAAGGTATGACACTACACCCGGAAATGACTCATCAAGGTTACTACAACATTATAATTGCCTTTGTATTGTCAAGAAGAGGTATGAGGTTAATAAGACGTTCCTTTGAAAGAAGTTCTTCACCTATTGTAACAGGTTTGTTTTTTCAAAAAAACAGCAAAAAAAGTTGAAAAAAGTGCAATAATAATTTAAAAATTTTAAAAATTGAAACAAAAACAAAAAATGATAATACGTAATAAAAATTTAGGCCTTGAAGTGTTATTTTTAGCATAACTAATACTATTATGAATAGATTCAAGTAAAAATGTGTCGAAATGTGGCAAAGACATTTGGGAAAGAACAGAGAATGTCACATTTCATAAAAAGGTGCCAAAACTTTCTTTACAACTCAATTTGTGTCACTTGCACCTAAGCGGATTCGAACCCGGCTGACATTTTTGTTTTTTAACTACTGTAATTCTTACTGTAACTTCATGAAAATTAAAAAAAATTAACACAATAATTATACATATCTTATGGTACCTTTATATTTTTAAAAATTAAAAAAACTTTCTTTACAGCTTAATTTTTGTCACTTGCACCCAAGCAGACCCGAACCCGGCTGACTTTGATAATTCATAACTACTGTAGTTCTTACTGTAACTTTTTGAAAATTTAAAAAAAATTAAACGTAGTAGTTATAAATATCTTATGGTATTCTTATATTTTTAAAAATTACAAAAACTATCTTTACAGCTTAATTTTTTCACTTGTGCCTAAGCGAATTCGAACCCGGCTGACTTTGCTTCTTTATAAATACTGTATTTCTCCTGTAATTTTATGAAACAATGTTAGAAGATAGAGTGGAGTATTGGTTATCTTTTCATGTTTTTGAAATTCTCAGAAAGTGGCAAAAATATTTTTTATAGCCTTATTTTTGCCTCTTGCACCCAAGCGGATTCGAACGCAGCTGACTTTTTTGCTTCATAACTACTGTAATTTTTAAAGTGATTTCATAAAAACTTGGAATAGTATAACTTATTTTGTCATTAACTTAGTAATATTTACGAAAATTTTTTAAAAATTACAAAAACTTTATTTACAGCTAATTTTTTGACACTATCACCCAAACGGATTCGATTGTAGTTCTTACTTTAATTTTTTGAAAATTTGTTATTTCATAGCTTAACCCGTCATTAAGTTTGTAATATTAACAAAAATTAAAAAAATATTGCAAAAACTTTCTTTACAGCTCTTTTTTTTGGGTAAAACCCATATTCCCCACTCTTTTTTTGAGCGGGTTTTTATTTTTATTCATACCTATCACATTTTAACTGCTAAACTTTTATTTTGACTGCCAAACTTCAATTTACTTAAGTTTATTTACACAGTGTTCCGAACGTTCCGTGCCGATAAAAAGTTTAGGCATAATTGGCCACAGAACCGAACTTTTTTTATTTTTGGCAAAATTTAATTTTCGTCAAAAGCAATTTCGTTGTTCTTGCGACAAAGTAAATTTGGCTTCATAATCAACGGCTTCGTTAATGTTTGAACAAGCATCGTACTGTAAACATTACTTTACTATTTTGGGTCGTTTTATTGGGGCGAGGGCGGGGTGGGAGGAGGGAGGGGGTACGTAGAAGAGCTCAGGTTTAGCTGTAAAGAAAGTTTTTGCAGTTTAAAAAAATATTAATAACAAAAGATTTTTCATAGACTAAGGTACAATGTGACTAATTTGTAAAAAGTTATAGTAAGAACTACAGTAGTTATGAATTAACAAAGTGAGCCGGGTTCGAATCCGCTTGGGTGCAAACGACAAAAATTAAGCTGTAAAGAAAGTTTTTGCAAATTTTTCAAAATTTCAATAACATGACAAAAATAACTATAGACTACACTGTATTACTGCTTAGTTTCATAAAATTACAGTAAGAACTACAGTAGTTATGAAGTTAAAAAAGCTAGATGGGTTCGAATTTGCTTGGACACCATTGAAACCAAAATAAAAGTGTAAAGAAAGTTCTTGCGGTTTTTTGAAAAATAAAAATTGCGTCAATACCACCTCTGTTTAGCTATGTTTTTGTAATTAGTCAAGGGATTACGGTAAGAACTGCAGTAGTTATGAATTTAAAAAGTCATTCAGGTTCGAATCAGCGTCGGTGCAAGTAAGAAAAATGAGGTTGTAAAGAAAGTTCTTGCGTATTTTTTGAAGGCTATTTTTTTTGTAAGCTTTATAATTGTCTTGGCTATTTTATCACAAATTTTCAAAAAATTACAGTAAGAATTATAGTAGTTTTAGACTAACAAAGTTAGTTAGCTTTATATTGTCTTGACCTCAAATTCGAGGAAGTAAAATTTGCTTGTAAATAAAGTTTTATCAAATTTTCAAAAGCTTTATTGAAAAGTGTTTATTCTCATTGTTATGGTAAACTAAATTCAGAGAATATACGCTTTAGCATCTTCGTAACTACTTAATAATCCCCATGTAGCTCGTATGTCCTCAAGATAAATAAAATCGTATTTCCGGCGAATAATTGAATTTGTCGAATTCGATGATAAAACTGCATGTCATGAGCAGCTCAGTCTCTGTCTTGTATAGTATTTTTACTTGGCTTTTTGTTTGTAAACAAAGTTTTTGCGCTTTCATGGTTTTGGCATTTTTAATTATGAATAATACGGATAGTGGAAAGAAAGTTCTTGCTGAATTTTAAAAATTAAAATTTTTTGTTTATTTTTTACAATATAAATTATTTTTGTTACATTTTAAGAACGGCTTTCATTATTGTAAGAGGCTTGCAACATAATGCCAAAAACTCGTAATTTTGGCGGGAAAATTAAAATTTGAATTTTTATGGCGTAAAGTTAAGGTTTTATACAAACTAGGGGTAATTGTACTATTTTAGAGACTTTAAAAGTATTGTTTTAAACCTTGCAACAGAATGCCAATATTTTAAAATTTTGGCGGGAAAACTTAAATTCAAAATTTTTAAATGTTGAACTTAAATTTAAACCTAAATATTGAATAATTTTTTAGTACCCTACGTTTTAAAAGGCTGTTTTACCATTTTTGAATCATTGCAACGGAATGCCAAGAAAAATGTCTGGCGGGAAAAAAAAACTTCAAATTTAAAATTACTGTTACTATCCGAAACATCATCGTGACCAAAGGCTATGTCGTAAATTGTGTTGAAGCCGGGCATTGACGGGCTTTATGGCCGCAAATTCGTCAAATTCTCGGCCCAAAAAAGCGAAACGTTCCGAAGGGATTAGGAATACTCGAGAGTGGTGTCGAGAGT